CATAGCGACTCCACGTTCTTGCCGGAACAAGTAGCCATTGATCTCGAAGTGACTGTTGTCAATGACAAAGTCAAGGAGGTAACGAAGGTCTTGTTCACGAAAGGCTCGAGGGACCTTAGTTTGACGGCGCCATTTTCCTTTGAACATACGGCGTCGATGATCTGACTTCAATTCGTACACCGACCATTGTGAGGATCGGCGGAGGCCAACTACTTGGTCATAACGATGAAGAAGCACCTGTAGTGCCTGATGGAAACGCTCCGTAGGAATGGACGTGAAGAAACCGGACAGGTCCTGAGACACCAGGTGGATGTATTCGGCGGGATCTGCCTTTGACAGCGCGTCCCAGAGCTGTTGGACAAGTTCTTGGACCAAAAGCTGTCCTGGTATGTCAGGAAAGGTAACTTTGGTAAGTTCAAAAATGAGGGCGCCGAAGACCGTGAGGAAGGGTGCTGCCCACGTGCGAAAGAAAGAAATGATGGGTCTTGCTTTCTGCCAGTCCTTGGTCGGCTTTGGAAGGGTGCGAGCTGTAGGCAACGGTGCTTGAAGTCGAAGTCCCCACGCGTAGCGCTGATGTAGAAGGGAAGGTATCGTAGTGACCACTTCAGAGCGAAAAGATGCTGCAGATTCCCGACACAGCGAGAAGACTTCTCCCGAGCAAAAGGTCTTGTGCATCAGTATGGCAAACAACGAAGGACAAATCACATGTGCACGAGAGGGAAAATGATCCGCTGGAATTACAACCCACGAGGACAGAGAAGCCACGGTGCGTTGTAGTGATGTGGATGACCAATAAGCACGATCTTGAAGGTTGGACCGATGGGTATCAATCAACTGAGTCAAAACAGGCCGTAGATCAGTAAGAAGACTGGAGCCATGTACATGCCACCGACGAGCTAGTTTGCGAAGCTGTGTGGTAAAACGCTGGTGCAGCAAGTCAACATCGCCGAAATACTGATCCTTCATGGACGCGGCCATGATATCCATGTCGATGTCCGCATTGATGCGTGAGAACTCATCTACCATTACTGCATGTTCATGCGCACGGTGTAGGTGGTGATCATCAATGTCCGAACAGCGACACGGAAAAGATACGTCAGGAGTCCATCTGCGTTGCCATGTGCGGTAGTTGTAGATCCGGTCTCCCAAAGTGGCACTGCGAGTTTCCACCACCCGGATCTTTGGAAGAAATAGGGAGGGGAACAAGTCACGATGTGAAGCGACCCAACGTTGTAACCACGTGCCAAGTTGAGCTTTCCAATTCCGTACATGTAGAGGCAGTACAAGTAGTTGTGTCAAAGTGCTTGGTGATTGGCGCTGTCGTTTGCGCATCACCTGGGCGAGGAGCTTCTGTGCCTTTGAACGAAAGGGCTCGTTGACGAAGACGGAGAGTCGCAGGAAGTAGTAGAGCTGAGTGGGAGGAAAAGCCGCCGACAGTAGGTCTCGCATGGCCTGGAACGACGCGCCTGTGTTGGATCCCAGCTGATAAAGAGTGGAGTAATGCGCTTGAATGTCATCCAACATTTCAGGTCGTAATTGCCGTTGAAGATCTGGATGTAGTCGTCGTCGAAAACGTTTGTGTAGACCGAGCGAGGTGGGAGACGACAACGAATGACGTCGAAAGTCAACTAGATGCTCCCGGAGAAGAAGTCTATGTACCCAGGGTGCATTCAAATGCGGACGCAGCAAGTATTGCCACTTGCTTTCCTGGACCCAAACCGAGGAAATGGGAAGTTTGATCTCAACCGGAATGGCACAGAAAAGCCAGTAAGTGTTGGTGCGCTTCCAGTAGTGAAGTGCAGGTTCGAAGAAGGCGTGACGTCCTCGAAGTAGTTGTAGAAATTTGCGACTGCGTGAGTGTTCTCGTCGTAGAACATCCTGATCAGTTGCACCAACGTAGTATGGCGTGTGCCATGGAGAAAGTCGGATGTAAACGCATGGTTGTTGATGGTGACCTGGGTCGTGAATGAAGTCATAGAGGTCCGGAAAACGTGTCCGTAATGAGCGAAGATGTCTTGTGTCTGCAAAGGTGGAATGCATAATTTCACACAACAGAGATATCTTGTAGAAGTGAAGAACCTCGAAGAACGGTGGGACATATCCATAATCTTGAGAAATGAGACGCTGCAAGAAACTGATCAATAAATAGGCCGTGCACCGGCACCTGTGAAGTTCATACCTGTTGGCCACAGTGTGGTAAGATTGTGACATGGCGTGAATCGGAATCTGAAGTGCAATCCGGACCACAACTAGTACTTCCAGAATAAGGCCCAACCAAGGTAGTTGTACAACTGACTCATATTCATCCATTGGTATCGACGGTGGTGGTAGTCCAGGAAAGCAGTATTGCCAGCACGTAGAGAACATTGTCAACGAGTGCAGAAAGGTGTCTAAGGAATGCCATTGTGCAACATCATCATAGATTCCACAGCGGCGAAGCTCAGCCAACATGGTGAACATGCAACCAATGAAATCTACAGTGTGGCGGCGACATGAATGCAAGTGGCAATTAATACCAAGCAAATGACAACGCAAGCACAGACAAGCACATCATCAAACAAGTGCAAGGCAAGAAGAGGACGGACGAGTCTTGAACCTTTCCTCAATCGTGACACAGCTGCCGCTCCGGGCTCATAAGTGAACGAAGGGGACTGCTCACCCACTGAGTAAGCGGGCGGTCACGATGAGGTGACACAGCGCCTTGTCAGTGAGCTTGGTGAGGTAGCCAGGCTCCAGTCCCCACAGAGCCGCCATCGCCGCAAACGTAGGTGCGTCTCCTTTTGGCATGAGTTGACGCGCCTGAAGGAGTTGCATCGCCATGGAATCCAAGGACTTGTTGCCGTTGAGACGGGACGGGTGATTGGCCCACTTGATCAATGACGCCAAAGTGGTGGTTGTGGGCGATTGCTTGAGATACAAGCGTGGCTGGTCACTAGTCCATGTGTAGTACTTGATGACGTCATCCGGCGTGGTGTGCATGGTGAGCAATTGTGACGCCGCCGGCTTGGAAGGCGGTGAAGAAAGTCCGTGAAGAGACTGAATGATCCGGGGTTGTACCGCGCCATCAAACGACTTGCCATCAAGGGCCGCTGCGCTGGCCGTAGGGAGGGAGCTGGGAGGTGACGAAGATTGTGTGTGGTTGACCGGTGGTGGTGTAACCAACTCGGCATCATCCTTCTGGTTTGGCACCGTGGGGGAAGTCGAAGCGCGTAACGATGCTGAATACTGAGCCTGGAGCAACTCATGAGCACGATTTAGATCATTGTACTTCTTGACCATGTCATCCGTTTGGGTAGAGGGCGTGAGAGTTGCGTGGTGTTGCTGAAGAAACTGAAGTACCAAGTTGGCCAAATGGTCATGAACCTTGATCCGCTGATTGAAGTCGTCCAGGTTGAGCCCCAGTGAGCTAGCAAGGTCCTTTTCCAAGGTAAGCAGGTTGATCGACTGTGATCGTCGTAGTAGTTTGGAACAGGTACTCCAAAGTAAGGCCTCGGTGCGAGTGCGAAAGCCTTCCCACGTCACGAATCTGCCGTGAGCAAACGGTCGGAGCAGCCAGTTGGTGATGCCCCCATGAATGACCTGAACCAGGCGAACGTCACGAATGTCCATGCCGGACATGTCACGTAGGTTGTTGTGCGGGGTGTTGGCGACCGTCATGGGCAGGCTGAAGTTGTAGAGCTGGTTGATTTCTAGCATGCCATCTCCAGGTGTCCAGTCAACCGATGGTGTAAGCCAGGCTTTCTGAGGTCGAACCGGCAGGGCGGCAGGGTATCCAGGTGATGGTGTAGCTTGCGAGGGCGTGACCGTTGGTGGCATCACGGGCGTCATGAACTTCGCTGGCGTGGGCTCCGGAGGAACCGGCATCATGTAGTTGACCGGTGAATGATGGAACTGCTGCGTGGGGAATTGAATCGATTGATAATTGCTCGGCATTACCGGGAAATTGTTGCCGGAGTTGTAGCCGGAATTGTGTTGCCAGGATACCAGGTTGTTCCAATCCATGCCCTCCGAGACCTGGTTGTCATTGTGTTCACGTCGGCGTGCTTTACGAGCTTGAGGGGAAGGACTCCGATCACGTCTGCGCCGAGTCCTGGATCTGTCACGATCATCACGTCGAGACATGATGGCGCAACCAACTCACAACCGCAACTCCTCAATCTTGAGAGAAACGAATCCGACAAAATGCAAGTCAATGCAAGTTCAAGTCAGCAGCCATCAGCAGCACTGGTGAGACGTCTCTATGATCTGACGGCTGTCTTCCCTTTAGTGAAACCTCGTTCCTGATTAAATGTGAAATTCCGCTGTTCTATGATAAGTACGTTGAGGTTAAATTTTCCGACAAAGCCGGCCCGGGGTCACACAATGGGTACACCCGAGGATTCCCCATGAATGGGGTGTACACACTTAAACTCCAGATGGAGGGTGCTAATCTTTCGAGTACAACTGATGAGTCTCGAGTACAACTGATGAGTCTCGACTGGGTTCTGCTCGCGATGCACTCGGCTTCCCTCTAGCAGCGAACACGTTACCCGAAAGAACAAGAAGCACAAACAGCGCCGCAACCAAGGGGCTAAAAGGACTTTCAGAATCACTTGCAGGTACAGGAGTTTGCGTCCAAACTCCCTTCCGGCTCATTCTCACAGCTTCGTTGGCACGGCTAGAGAATGAGCTGCCGTGCCCCCTGCTACTAATAGTGGTGACAGGGTATTCTGTCACTCCGCACACACACACACACAGTTCAAACGCAGCTTCTCGTATGTCTCAGGTATGCCCAAGGTGAGGTCTTCACAAAGCTCTGCCCTTCAACTCGCAGCGCAGGGAGAACCTTTGCTTTGTGGTTGATTCCTTTTCCGTGTTCAAGGGTCAACCATATGGCTGGTGCTCAAACAACATGTACTAAAATGAAATGGCAACAAAAACTTAAACCTTGATTGCCTTAGTTTTGAACCACACCCATATCTTCAAACAGCTGCCAATCCCCCAGGGTCTTGCCACCAAGCCTGCTTGATCAGCTCCACGAACTCTGGCCGGGGCACCTGCGCTCGCCATCGCATTGATGTCTCAAATGGCAAAGCCGGCCAAAAAGCAGGGGGCTTTACGGAAACACACCAGTTGGGATGAGTGAAAGATCATGAATACTGGAATAAACCACCTGTCGAGTGGTGCGGATTCTGTCCATCCACAGTATTCTCCCTACGTTAATAGAAACTTGGCCCCAGGAGAAGGAAATCCAGGAGGAAACGAACTTGCCATACCCTTGTGGTTGTGTGGTCGTTTTGAGGCTCGGAGCCATCCTGTGATATGAAGGTAAATACCCTCTTTCCCAACAATTGCAGCGGACACAGGGCTTCCCCGAAAGGTGGCCCTTCCAAGACTCTACTTTACATAGGTGATGAATCCCTTGGCAAATTGCGGTTGTCTAAAACCCCTCTAAAAGCGCCAATCAAGGTCAAATAATAAGACGCTTCAAAGACCCGATCGTCATAAGGGTTGAAATGTGGTAGGACAGAGCAACCCTGTGACATGAAGGCAAATATATGTAATGGTACAGAGTGTAAGAATATGAACAAAACATATATATATATGCATATGTACTCAAATAATCTATTGTGAATAATTATTTTCAGGGAGAGGAATCTCTTTTTCGGGGGAACCTGCAGAAATGGCTTCCTTATGCATCACGCTTCCCTCCTGCATCCCGCTTCCCACTCGCTTCAAGATGCCATTCAAAACAGAAAAAGTAGAGCGCATGACGCACCCATCAATGGTCAGAAACGAAATCTGCTTTGGGAGGCCTGCATTTTACGTGTGCGGCCCTTTTAACCACCTTATTTTGGCGTCCCCGTTTTGAGAAAGACGCCGAGTTTTTGGCTCGCAGCCTCCACCATGTGCTGCTTCATGGTCACTGTGGACACCGGCTGCGTGCGCTCCCGAACCTTCCAACACAGCGGCATGTGCCTTTCTTTTGGAGTAGCTCCGAAACCATCCTAAAGAGGGACCATGCAGAGGGTCCCTCTTTCCTGCGGGTGCGCCCCCTGTCCATACAGTACTAAGGGTTTTGGAGTTGGCATATGCCTGTTTGGCAGTTGCTTGAAAGGGAAATCAAGGGCGGATTGTCTTGAAGGGACGCCACAGGGAAAACCACAATTTTTCGGGAGTCTCCTGTTGTGAGGGTCCGAATGTGCAAACGAGGGGTGTCTTTTTTTTGGAGTCGGTATCCCCTTGCGGGCTGGGTTCTGGAGAAATTGCGCACATGTAGAAGGTGGCCCATCCCTGTCTGTGATACTGGTTACTGGTTGATTCCTGACCAACCGTTTCGAAGACGAGTGTCCTTCTCGCGAAGCCTCTGTCCTCTGCCATGCTGGAAAGAGGGTCTCCCTTTGTTTGGGGAGTCCCCTGTCATCAGGAAGTGGTCGATTCCACCCAGTTTGTCCATGGCTGTGTTCAACAAGTCACAGGGAGCAGAACCACTTCCCCTGGAACACCATCCCCCGAAAGGACGCCTAATTGAAACCGGCCTTTCGAAAAGGTGCGCAATGAGCCACCAAAGCATGAAAAATGAGAACCGTGGGGCCCAAGAAAAGAAACAAGCTCAAGGCGGTTGTTAAAACAACCACACACATCCATCCATCTCAACAATACAGATCCACTGAAAAGAATCTTTATCGCGGGGGATGTTGTCGCATACCAGTACAGCTTGGAAACTCGGTTCTCGTACTAGTTCTTGTCATTGTCCAAATTCCTTGCAAAGGGCTCAGGAGCAGCTCATGACCATCCCCACTAACCGCAATCAGCAGGTCTTTTGACAATTGCACACATGAAATAGGGCAAACAAAAACACAATCTCACGGAAGCGGGCTGTTGCGCCTTGATGCCTAACTAACGACCCCGGAGCGAAGCAAAAGCGGTTTTGAGCGGCCTGGACAATGGGCTTCTCCACGTGCTTCGTCACCTTCTTCACCACCGGCTTAGGCACCTGCTTGATGATCTGCACCCGCTCGTGCTTCGGCACCTCCCCGGGCCGGAGTTCGAGGTGAATTCGCTCAGAGGCCCCCATTCCCCACAACCCGATTTCTCTAAATGCTACTTAATGAAATGTTCGAGGGCTTCATGTGCAGAACATGAACATCAGTCAGATTTTTTGGGACCTGAGTCCTTAGACCAAGGACCGTAACCCCGAAAGCGACAGTTCATTGCAGCTCATCGCCCATGAGTCATGAGTGCCTTTTGACACCTAGGACCAATCAACCTCGCAGATTGGCGGAAATCTGCACCACTCCTAAACCTGAAACCTGAGCTGCAAAAATGACTCGCCTCGTGCCATTTCAGAGACTCGGGCCCAAAAACATCCCCACCCCGAGGCGCGCCGTGCACCTCAACGTAGGTCTCCTCGATCAAAGTTTGGGGCACCTCCATGACCCGCACCCGGGGCTCGTAGCAGGGCCGCTCCACCTCTCAGAGAGCGAGCCGCTGAATTGCAGAGATTTGGGTGTGGCTCAAAATTAAACAGGAGGGGTTACGCAGGTGTTGGTCCATGTTTCCACTTACCAGGGTTCCATTTTGGGGCCGGTTTTTTGAGCCACAGCCATTTAATGGGATTACAGCTGCTCGTAGCCACCTCCCAAAGCAACGTTGACCAAACCAACTTTCCGCGGGGGCAGAGTGTAGCCGATCCCAATGCTCGTTCCGAACCAGTACGAATGCTCCCAAGACCCGATCCGCAGAAGGATAGAAATTGAAAGCTTGACGTGACTATTCGGGCATGGGTGTTAGGACCCCTCCATGTTCTGTTCCCAAGAGAATGGCTTAAACTAAGGGGATCCCCTGTTGGGAAACCAACCACTGGGCCCTGGTTCACGGTCAAGCAGTTCTATTGGGTTCTAAGCCATCCTGTTCCAAACCAGCCGCAATCCATGGGTGTTTCATCTGAGGCTCGGATCCCGGGGAAGCGTCCTCTGGTTCTCAACCATATTCCCCCTACATCACCCCACCCAAAGGAAACTCAGTTTCAAATTGTGCTTCAAAAACCACAAAAAACAACGCGGCAAGTTAGGCAACCCCTAAGGCCTTCTTCATCACCTCCTGATACTCCGGCCGCGGCACCTCTATCAGCAGATCCTCAAGTGACACCAGCGGCAAGGCGCTCCAAGCAAAAATCGAGCCGCAGCCCTGCATCTCCCCGGTGGCTATCAAATGGCAAAACATCGCCCCAACGGAGGCGCTGGAAAAACCATTTGAATGCTGGGGGACCCTGACAAATGCAAACTTGCAGCCGTGGAACACATAAACTGGAACAGTTTGGCTTCAGTTCTCCCAAAGCGACAATGGCTCCCTATTAGCTCGATTGTTTCCACAAGCTACAACTCGCCACCCAGAATATATGTTCTACTGGTTCCTCTTAACCCAAAGTGTTGGGATCCGGGATCCAATCCCGTGGCTTCGATTCGAGTTGAAACATAATCGAAATCCTGCGACCCTAATGGATTTCCAAAACGGCAAAGCAGAATATCTTGCAATCTGAACATGTTTGCAACCAAAATGTCTCGCAAACATAATATTGTGCCCAGGCTAGAAAAGCGAATAAGCTCTAAGAACAATCTCAGAACCTCCCCCTACAATGTCCATGCCGGATAGTGTTTTGTTCTTCCACTTAGATCCTGATTAACACAATTCGCTGGTCCTTGCAAGTCTCTGATTTGGGGAGTCCAACAGTTGGGATTGCCGTAAAGGGGGGAGTTGGATCAAAAGATCAAATCACATTTTAACCACATTGAGATCCAAAGCAAAAAACCGCTTTATCGCCTTCAGGCAAGCCCCCAAGAGTATCACAGAAAGGCAAGCAAGTCCCGTTTGCCCGTTGGGAAAGTGACTTGTCTAAAGACGTCCAACTCGTACATTCCTGTTGCCTCTGACCCGTTCTGTCAAAAAGTGGAACCTTGTCTGACCATTTAAGGTGGGGACACCCACTCAACAAGCAATTAGAGCTCCTGATTTCCGGGGCCTGGTGAGTCCATGCAAGCCACGCCCTGTGCCTTGGAGGTGATTTCGCAGACCAGACTCAAAGCCGCCCAATACCCTAAACAACAAGCTTCCAAAATCCACTCCAAGCCTCCACCATCCGTCCAAAACTGAAAAAAACTTGCACTTGCTAACCCCAAAAGTGACTAAAGTGCGACATGGAACTCATGAAGTGAGTAAACTCGCCCGAAATCCGGTCCTGTCTGTAGACCTCCGGCACCTCCACCAAGGTTTCGTGCACCAGTACCACTGGCACCTCCTCCACCCGCTCAGACAGCTCCACCCGCGGCACCTCCACCTCCTTCTCCACCTCCTGGAGAACCAAACCGACGAAGACGGGTTGAGAGGCAGGCGTCCATGTCTCCCAGGAAGATGTTTCTTGCCATGGAAAAGGTGCCCCCCACCCCCACCCCAGAAAAGGTGAGAAAAGGGGTCCCTCACGCTTCCATTGGAAGGCGGACACATTCAGGCCATCGAGTTCGGGAAGATCCCCGGCCGAATTTCCCCTCTCCCTGGGAAGCTGGCAAAGCCAGGTCCGCCAAAGCCAGGAGTTGCCTTTTTGCCTCATAGATGTTGGGGGCAAACATGCAAAACACATCAAGCAACAAATACAACAAAAAGGCATGTACCAACAGAACAATTGATACACCCAACAGACATGTATACGCCCAAACAAGGAAAACAACAAGTCAACATCCAGATGTCGACAGTGTACGCCAACAAAAGCCACAAACAAAAAAACGAATGTGTGCATAGAACAGAAAATACCAAAACCAAATCCAATTCCAATTCAATCAATTCCAAGAGTGTATAAACAAACGAATCCAGGTGCTTCTACCAAGCTCAACATCAGGCCTCACATTGTCCAAAACCAACTGAACCACAACAAAGTCAAAGCACAACCGCTCCAAACCAAACGAAAAAGCGATATCAAAACGAAAGACCCCCTCCAAATGCGTCAAGGAATCCTTTCCAAAGGGACCCAGAAAGGCGCCGCTTCATATTTCCGCGCCGACTTGTCTGGATTGCGTAAAAAAGATCCTAGGCCAGAACATTGGCCTAGGATCGTTACCGATTCTGTGCCCTTGGAGTTTGACCAAAGGCTGAGAGCAACCCTGAATTGGCATGGGTACAAAATCGGAGGATCCGCAAAATGGGTGCTTCCCTTCTTCCTTTCCATTCAAACCAAGCTGAAACGGGTGCCCTCAATAAAAACACATACGGCAGACCCAGGCATCTCCGGGAGCAAAAAGGTGAGGCAATCGTCTGGCAATGCACTCTCGCATCCGTTTTCTCCTCGATGCTGGGCTTCTCCCGCAAAATGGTGTGGTACTCCACCTTCCGGCCTCGCGTGGTTCAAACAAAATAAGGCCAAGTCCGAGCTTTTTGACAGCGACAGCCATGGGGTAGGGCATTCGTAAATTGTATTGGCCCAAAATAAGCATCCCTAGGTTCTTCTGATTTTTTCGGCTACGGTGCATGGTATTGGTATGATGCAAGGCAGTCAATAGGGGTGCTAATAGTCCAGGCCTGTTGATCCCCCCCCTCCGCGTTTGGCTTTGAGCTCAAGCTGATGAACGGGGCCTTCTGAACATGGGGCTTGTGTTTTTTTTAAGGGCGCCCTTTTCAGGTTCTAGGTCCTCCAGTAGAGAGGTTAGAATAAGGGTAACAACTGTTTTCTGTAGTATATGTTAGTAGGGGAACCCTCCCAACCAAAAAGGGCTCCAAGGGCACTGGGGAACCTAGGGTTGGTGTACAGGAATTACACGATCCCTCCTTTCGGAGGTTGCGGGGCCAAGATGCAATTTTTGACAAACCCCCCCCTCCCAAGATTGGCTTGATCCCACCGGCCAAACGGGATGCACGCCCTACTAGCAAAAATCAGGAGCATGGCAGATTGGTTTGGGTACACCATGATGATTCACACGGCTGAACACCATATTTAATTTCTAGATACAGCTATGAATTTGCATGGAGAATACCCTATGGTTGGTGAACATAAATATTCGAGTAAACGATGTCCACTGTTTCTGACTTTTCGCCGCAAGGGGATGTACTTGTTGAAATGGTCACGAAGTTATTTTTATACCTTCCACCAAAAAAACAGGGCCAGTTGTCCTTTGCTTTTCCCAAGGCACATAAGCAGGGTTGCCTGGTTGCCTTTTAGCCCCTTTTGAGGAAAGAAAGAGGTTGAAGAGAAACAAGCCCAGATAGGCCCCCCCCGGCCTAAAAACTACTGTATAACCCAAAAACATATTCAACAGAAAGACCAACCAAGAACCACTGGGGTCTCTGTGAACCCCCCAAAAAAGTATTCAAACAAATGACCCCATCCGTTCTTCCGATCTTTGCGCCCAGGCGCCGCCCGACGCCCGGGTGCCGATGGATGGCGAGGGCGGAGGGAGCCCTCCACGCGCTGAGAGCTGCATGGAGCGAGGGCCAGTGGACGGGGCGTAGCGCATCCTCGGCGATGAACTGAACGCTGCACTGGTGGCGAACACAGACAAAGAAAGACAGAGAGAGACAGAGAGAGAGAGAGAGAGAGAGAGACATGCACACGCACAAACAAACACGCACGAGAAACGAGGCACGCAAGCATGCATGCACACACGCAGGCAGGCAGGGTTCTATACATTATATGTATATATATATATATATAGATGTGTGTATATTTATTTGCTAGGGTGACCCTGTAACCCTCGCAGTCTAACTCAGGACGTCAAGTTTTTGAAATTTGAGACGGTCCAAGGTGGTCACACGTGCGGCAAGGTGCGGGAGGCAGAATCTTGTGTAGCTTGAATATGTTTCGTTACCCAAGTAGATGGCGCAGCTTCCACATTCGAGCTTTGGGAAGCATTTGGCGGCATCATATGATTTTCAGACTTACGAAATTGCTCTTTCCGAGACGGGCATGGCTCGTTCTGCTTTTGACCGTCTTGGTGGAAAAGCGGTCGACACCTCAAGGTGAGCACAGCTGCTGCAGTAGATTGAATATGTATGTGAAGAAAAATAGATGTTGCCGAGTCCAAACACGCATCGTCAAAGTCATTATTTGCTTACGAAATTGCATTCTCCGGAAGCCCGACATGACTCGGTCTGCTTTTGACGATTTTCGTGGCTAGAGTGGTCGACACCAAGCGGTCGACTCACCCTGGCTATAGTAGAGGAAATATGAGGAAATGACACGCCCGGCATCACCAGTGTTTTAGTACCGGCAAAGCGGTCGACCCCAAGCAGCACCAGCGATTTAATAGTGGAAATGCTTTGCCGCTTACTAAACATAAATGTCGCGATTTGGTTAGAATAGTGCGTAGGCTAATGTGGTCGACGCCCACAGCATCCTGTGCACCAATGCTTTAGTAAAGGACAAGTAGATGTTGCTCTGGTCCATAGGTCAAAGTGGTCGACATCACCACAACTGGAGCCTGGAACATTGATCTACCGTGCCGGAAGTCGACTAAAGTTCCTTGTGAAAGGAAAGCCAAAAACTTGAGTCGACTGCAGAAAACAGCAAAGGAAAAGAACAGGCAGGCTTGCGTTGATGAGAGTTTGACTGGCCTACAATCAGTGCAGGAGCAGGAAGAGAAATGACGGGAAGCGCCCATGCAGGACCGCACAGGCTAAGGTACCCAAGTATATACCTACGTACACGAGTGCAGCACGTGTCTTACTTTGGGACCCTGCTGTGGGACATCATTTGCATTTTTGTTTACGTCCTACCAGAGTTCAGGGGGACGGTTATCGAAACACTTGGACGTTGCGCAACGGAGAAGTGAGGGGGAACACCGAGGGACAAGCGGCGCCCATGTCCCCTTCAAGCCAACAGTTGGTAACATAAAAGATCCGACCAGTTACTCGTCACATCAACACGGAACCCCAAAGAAAACCCTTTTCCTAGGATGTTTTCGTGTGTTCCGATGTCAATTTGTGTGCAGTGGGATGTCCTGTTGGCGATTGTGCACCTTGCCAAGTTGCCAAGTGGCCAAGTGGCCAAAGCCGTGATGCCCTACAAGTCGCCAAGCAAAAGAGTCCCGCTATGTCCGCCATGCTGGGACTTCCCTGTTGTTCGGCGCTCCTGACCCATGGGGTTTTGAGATCTCCCGCAAAAAAAGCATAAGCGGCAGCCCTGGGTGCTTGCAAGATGGTGGGAATGCGCTAGCTTCGGAGTCTCAGACCAGAATGGATCGAAAACACTAAGCATTGAATACACAGCCAGATTGCCCCTCAAAGAGTCCCGCTGAAAACCAAAACTCAAAAAGGCTCCCGTGACCAAAAAACAAGGAACATGAAGAAAGGCGAGCGTCTCCGACCAAGTTCAAAGTTCGAGCTGGGTCCATTCAAGCGACATCCTCACATCCCTGCTTCCCACTTTGTAAAAGTGATACTTTTGAGGGTCAAACCTAGCACTTTTACAAGTGCCCCAACAAATACATCACACAACCGCCTTCACCAACAGATGCTCACCCTCAGCTGGTACCACTTTGAAACCCTTTGCTTTTCGGACCGTTCGACCCCGCTACGACGTCCAAGACTCGCCGCTGCCCGCGCCGGCGAGGCGTTCCGCACCGGCGTGAGCGAGCGCGCGGGCGAGGCGCTGCGCACGCTCCGCGCCTGCCGTGTCAAACGACGGGCCATGTCTTGCGAGTTCCCAACTTGTGCCGTTTTGAAGGCATAAGGGAAACAAAAGGCAGCCCTTTGGTCTTGGAGTCCCTTTTCCACCATGGCTGTGAATGCTGAAAAACCGCCTCAAAAGTGGTTGGTGGACGTGAATCCACACCGAAACCATGTCCAACGAGAAGTGGGTGGGTGTTTCTTGAAGCATTCTTTTCGCCTTGGTCTCTCTATTGGTCTTCCCAAATGAAGTCCAAGAGCTCGGGAAGCGTCCCGGGTGGTAGGGTCGGTGGAAAGATCCCTTTCCATGATAGCAAGGTGGGCTTTTCCGTCCCGCCAAGGAGCAGAACACAAACCCAAGAGAGTCCAAATTTGCATGACACTTCTTGGCGCAAGGCGCCCGCCTCAACGTTGGGCGGGGACTTCCGAATGGTCTGGGACTTTATGAGGACGAAATCGGGGTCCGAGGGGGCCTCGGGGGCGGGGAAGGCGATCGGTTGGCACGGAACTGGCCGGGAGGGCAGATGGAGTCCGAGGCCATTGAGCCTGCGCTAAATCGCTGGAGCAAAGCGACCGAGAGGCAAGTGTAAGAATTAGTGCCAAAGGCCCCCCTTACCCCCCGTTAGAGGTCGTTGAATTTAGAACGTACCTTTGAGCACATGTTGTTGCCCGCGACGCAAGAGTGCTGTGTATCTGTCAGCGAGGTGTCAAAACTCGAGTTTGTAGCGCGAAAGAGGCGATTGGGTTTTGGATGTTTGCATAGTGGTTTTTTGTGGTCGTCGCGATTCTCGTAGCTAAGGCGCAATTCCATGGCACAGTGCGCAAGAAATTGCGCCAGTGTATTTGGGGGCCGCGCTGGCGCTTGGTTTGAGGACGATGTTTCCAGGCTTCATGAGCTTTGTGGCTTAGCAAGGAAGAATGTCAGGTCTTTGAAAAACAGACCATTGGCTGTTTTGTTTTTTGATTGGTTGGTGGCTTTGCCAGCCCTTGACATGAGCCAGGGACGCCGTGGATTCCTCAAACGCGCTTTGACGGCGCTCACGCTCGGACCATGCCGTCTTGCGCGAATCAGACCTCCCAGCCTCGGAGCCATCTGACATGGACGGGGCTGGGGCACACAACGCGGAGCGTTGGAAAGTGTCGGTCTTTAAGATGTGCGATCCCTTTAATTACCCGGGTGTGGCTCAAATTAAAGAGCTAGGGTTACGCAGGTTTTAGTCTTTGGTTCCATTTACCAAGGTGCCGGTTTGGTAGATGCTTTTGACCCACAGCCACCCAAACCTAAAATACAAATCGTTTGTGGAGCCCCCGACTTTGCCATTGAAGGCACCTCAACTTTCAGCCCAGCCTCCATGGCCATCGGCTCCATGGCCATCGGCTCCGCGTAGGGCCCTGTCGCGTAGGCTCCTCGGTGGCTCGGAAAAGGAATAGAACTCAAATCTTCGACCATGCGCTTTCCGCGGGGGCAGAGTGCCATCCGATCCCTCCTTGGGAACGTTGGGGCGATAGGGTCCGCCTAGATTTCAAGGCCCAAAGAGGCTTAGTACCGGGTCGCTCCAAAGACCAATGCTTTCGGGGTGCTTTTTGTTTGAACACATCCGCAAAGCCACTGGCGTCAGGCAACCCTTGGGGTTTGGGCGGTTGGCCAGTCACGGGGGTCCCTTCCGAGTGGCTCCCAGCCGACCCCAAGGGCGCAAGAAGTTTGGCAATCCGAGTACAGGGGCAGGATTCCGGAGCACAAACAGGAAATCCCGGGCTCCAAGTGGCCATGGCATGTAATCTTCTGAATCCAAACTTTCCCTTTTCAACCCCTAGCCGGTTCCCGGTTGTCTTGCTTCAAGTGAAGCCCTGACGACCGCTGTCAAAAAGAGGGTGGCCGGCCTGCGTGTTGGTGGGCTGCCGAAAAGACAACCCAATGAAACCGCGCAATTGGAGCGGACCCTAGTTTAGCCTCCATGGGTGACGGGCTTTGCGCTGATTGCTGGAGAACTTGCGCCTTCTTGACACATTGGCTAGACTAATCCGAGCTGCGGTCAAGATTCAACGGCGCGGGGGACCCAAAATGGGCTTCGAGTTCCCTTCGTTTATATATTCATCCTTGCCCATCATTGTGAAAGGAATAACCTGCATGCGGCTCGACTCACCAAGTTCTCCCATGGCCACTCGCCAAATCCCCCCCCCCCCAACTATGTTCTGTTTGGAGTTGTCTTGAAAAAAAATCCCCCCCCCCAAAAAAAAAAACAGTCCCTTCTCCAACTGCTGACTTGAGTTGCTCATGCAAAAGTTACGGCCTGAAATGATCAAGACACCCACGCACAAGAAGCCCAACGTTTGACTCAAACCTGGGCAACTCCAAATGCTGCAATGAAGACCAATCTTGTCAATATGGGTGTGGCTCAAAACCCAGATACCCTTCCGGCAACCCCCTGAAAGCCCCAATCTGGTGGTGCATTCTAAAAGGGAATCTGGGAGATAGTGGGGGTACCAGGGTGTTGCTTTGATTTCCCAGGTCCTCCACACGCTGAAGCCTGGCTGACATGCGAGGCTTTCAACAAGATTTGGACAAGGTGCTGCTTGCTCGACAAAAACCTATGGCGTCTGGTGCTTCGGGTGATCGTGGTTTGTTTCTAGTTGGTGCTGGTGGATAGGGAATCGCGACAGGGCGCTTCTTCTTGAAGGAGCTTTCTGCAAGCCATGTGAGGAGGGAAGCTGAACTCAGGTCCCTTTTCAGCCCGTCAGGGTCGTCCTTTTTATTTGAGGCTACCCTTTTCAGGTTGGTTAACAGGGCAGCCAACAGGAAACCCGCCAGGCCAAGCACCAATCACAAGCTGAACTTCAACAAGCCCTGCTCATGGCCCGAAGGCAAACAGCAATGACGTTTAACAGGCCCCAACTCCATTTAGGTGTGGGTCAAAATTGGGTACCCAAACTGGAACCCCGGCAAATGGAAACATGGACTAAAACCTGCGCGCCCCTGGTGGTTTAATTCTGACCCAACTCCGTTTTGCCCTTGCAGAAATGGATTCACATGGAACCTCAAACACCCGTCATGAAAACTCCCTGGGGGTCACCTTTTTGAAGGTCTGATATTCTGGCATCGCACCGGCCATATCTGCACCCGCCTGAACCCAGAACCTTCATAGGCTGTAAACCAGCACTTTTAGGAAGGCCACACTCGTTTCAGCGCCCATAGAGACGTGACAAGCCGTCCACTCGCCGCATCGATCAAGGGGCCGCCTGCGTGTAGCCAGCGCCGGACCTGCAGCAAACCCTGGGTTCTCCGTGCGGGCGGAGAGGCCGAGGGGAGGGGGGGGTCCGCCCCCAGTTGCCGCAGAAGCATGTTCGTGGGAACGGCTGCCTGTTTCAGTTCAAAGTCGTAGTCCACCCCATGAGCACTTCAAAGGGGGATTCCCTTGGCATCAAAGCATCACAATGGTAACTTGCAAACTACCACTGCATGCACCTTCCCAGAGAGCTGTCGTGGTCCCTTGCAGGGGAGATGTCGAATGTCAGTTGCACTAAGTTTGCCGCCCAACTAACATAAGGTTGTCGGAATAGTTTATCGCCCAAACGTACCAGAGGTGATTTTTAGGGTGCGCCCGCTTAGGTTCCTGAGCCTCCAATTGGTTCGCATCCGGACGCCAGAAACCGTAACCTCCGGCCATGGGCAATGGGCGGTTTTTCCTTTCCGTGACACGAGTACCCTCACAGGAACGCTCCCTTGCCAAGACCAAAACCTTTTGAATCAAAAGTACATGCAAGCGGGAAGGTTCCCGAGGGTTCCAGGAGGTTCCAAGGCTGGGGATATCACCGAGGCTTATTGTTTTTCTCAAACAAAATGAATGGCGCTGAGTCGCAGAAATCCGGCGGATGGTTGACTTGGGCTGTCTGAAGTGTTAGGGAACTCTCAGCATGGCAACGGTGTCCATTCACTGTCCCTTCAAAAGACCCGCAAGAGAGGATTCCAACCAAAAAGACCACCAAAGGTAAGTCAAATGCCCGCCCATATCACGGCAAGCCAAGCAAGCCAAGCAAGGGGTTCAGGCCTTGTCTGAAACGCAGGAATCATGTGGGGTCTACCACACCAGGAGCCCAATTTCACCGCATAGCGGGCGTCGACCTGCGCATTTCCCGACTTCCAGGTCTTCTGGGGCGCCGCGCAGGCTCGTGACCTCGTTCAGCTAGGCCCGAAAAATCTGTGGGCCAAGACAAAAACTCACCCGTCAAAAGCGAATGGGTCCCGCTTCGGTTCTTTTGGAGATGCCCTATCCCTCCCGTGACAATGCAAAAATGGGGGGGGGGCACCCTCTTTGACGTGCTTGAGTTTGAAGGGAAACCCCTCAAACTCGAAATAACTTGAAGAAAGGGGGACTGATTTTAACTGACCTCACACTCAAAAAGTGGAAAAACAGGTGGCACTATCGCTAGAGGTGCACCACTGGAGGTCTATCGATTGGTATCCCTTTGAGGCCAGCGCCATCGCAGGCATTGTAGCCGTCGAAACACCTGGCTGTATCAGATCGACCCCCCCCCCCCCCCAAAACCCCAACCCCTCCAGTCAGAGTTGCGGGAAGATCGGTGCTTCCCACCTCCTGATTGCGAAGACTCCCCTTGAAATGGAGAATAGGGCATTTGGAAGTGGGCAATTCCCACTCCCATTGGACCCGGGTGGGTAGAAATGTTGTCCCTGTAAAGTAAAGAGAAACTAAGGAAAACCAAACCAATGCCCTGTTTGGTGATTTGTTCAAGGCTCGGAGAACGCCTATTACTCTTCCTTCCAGCAAGGGAGTACCCCAACCACCAAAGATCTAGGGGTTGATTCCCCATTCTTTTCCACCATCGTGCTTTTCAAAAACCGACTGCTTCCTCTGGGTTTTTGATGGTTTGCTGAAAAGAAGGATCCCTGGAAAGAATGGGGAGGGTACCCCTAGAAAAGAGCATTTCAGGTGTCGGTGATGTCGGTGATTCTCTTTTGGGGCTTACATAAAGTCGTAAGCCAGCCCTAACTGGTTGAACGTCCTCTGGCCTCCTCAACCATATATATCCCTCCGGGAAATGTGGGACCTGGTCCCAGGAACAGTCCCAGCAACAGTCCCTTCTATACATCCATGAGGGGCTGGGTATATCTCAATCCAATGCGTTTTGGCCATGCCTGACAAAAAAAACCTGTTCTCCAATGAAAGAGTGCACTCTGGGGGGTGGGTGGTAAGGGTCTAGGGGTGTTGTACATGCACGTTTGGGTACATAAACCCTTTGACGCTTGTTGTCCATATGATATGGGTATCTTCAAACAGGGGGCACTCCTTGTCCTTTTGGTTTCAAGATTCGCTTGAAATAAAGGTTGAAAGGGTACCCTCAAAAGCTGTCGTTCTACCCGTGATCAAGTGAGTTGGTAAGGCAAGTGAGTTGGTCACCAGTGAGCCAAGGGCTCTTAGGGGCCTCAAGCTCCCCTCAAAAAGTGTCGCCTTTGGATGCTCAAAGCAACCAGCTGCCAAGAAAACGAGATCACGAATCAATGAGTAAAAGCTTGACCCGTTGTCCCCCCATGAGGTCTTCGACTTCCGTCTTGAGCCAACTGGGCTACCTGAAATAAGAAAGGAACCCTTGTGGGTGATTTGGTCGCAAAGCCCCGGTTGGTGAAGTCAGGATTGAACATTTGATGGGACCCTTGAAAGGCATATTCAGAAGCGGTTTCTCTTTAAATGTGCGTTCGGCAAGCCCGCAAAGGTCGACACAAAAGGAAACCAGCAACTTGCGAAATGACAACCAAAGCGTTGACCCCCTTTGGGGGAAAATTACAGGCCTTCTGTCCGATGATTGAGATAACTAGGTCCTCCAGTAGAGAGGTTAGAACAAGGGTACCCTTTTTTCTGTCGTCTATTTTGTAGGGGAACCATCCCCCCAAAAAGGGTAAAAGGTCACTACTGGGGGACCTAGATAATGATTTAGAGAGCCAAAGCAAAGCTCACATGGGAGGAGGATGGCCCCTAGTTGTCTCTAATAGTTTGCGAGAGTCTCCAGCACCATCACTAGGCTAAGCCATCAATGGCTCTGCTTCTTTCTTGTGGCTCTGCATCAGTACATGAAAGAGGGTTTCCACACTGTGGTTCCCCCTTTCATGTTGTCAGGACAAGTAAAAAGCAACCTCGCATAAAACAGGATCTCCCAAGTCCAACGTCCAGCTGGCGTGCCAACTGGCGCTTCCTCGTAGCCTCATTCCCCCTTCGAGCTGCCCCAACCGGTCGCCTCTTTGTGCAGCCTCAGAAAGACGAGAACGGCACTGGGCTGGCTCAGTTGATAAGTAAACCCCTGGTTCACAAAAAGCAAGGACCCTTTTCCAAACTGGGACTGCCGCTTCTCACGACGACTTGGGGCAACACCCTCGGAACCTGCGAGGTTCTTCACGGATGCCATAGTCAAAACCCGAGGACCGGACGGGTTGACGGATTTCCGACCACTTCCGACCGCTGGAAAGGGCGCGAGGGATGGCGCGTGGCAAGAATATGTAGCTGCTTCTCTTTTGAACAGGTCGACTGGAAAGCATAAAACATATTCAAGCAACTTCCATATCAAAAACAGTTTGGGCTTGGAGTTCGATGGCACAAGAAATCTGTCAAATGGCGAAGAACTCACCGCCACAGGACCAGAAAGTGGCGGTAAAAAGGGCTCAAGATCCAGGCCACGAACAAGCACGGTTTGCTGGTGCATGGGAAGAAGGGGGCATTCCATCAAAGCATTGGCAAAGCCTGGCAACGAGTAAACAAAATACAGCATGTGTGCCTGTGCCCAAAACTCTGCTTGAATGACAATTCATCGACTCGACAAAGGGCTCCCTGCGAAAGAAACCTTCATCATAGGTGGTTTTGTCACACACACACCCATTCCTCTGTGTGGGTGCCAGAATGCATGCATTCCCTCTACTTCATGTGGCTTGTTCCTGAATGGGAGACAAACCCCTTAAAACCAGTGCCAACACCAAAAAAAGGCTTGTATATATATATATATATGTTTGTATGTATATATATCTGTATGTGCTCCTCGACAAAACACATCTGTCTCACAGGAATTTCCTATCTCCTGTTTGGGGACTTCTGCTTTTGGTTTTTCGAGGTAGTTTGCAGGGGAGCACCCATCAAGCCGGTTTGCGCTCGGAACATCTGGGGCACTAACTTCGAACTCTTCCCGGGAGATCACCTCATGAAGGCAACGAGCGCATCGACCCCTGAGGGTCCTGCTTGGTATGGAGCCAGGGGACTCTTTTTGCCGCCTTTTGTCGAACAATGATCGACCCCCTCGTAGTGAAGGGTTCCTTTTGAGGGGGTCGCCAATCTTCTCACAAAACATGGCAAAAGGACCCCCCTGTATGGAGGATCTTTTCCCCTGCACCCCGAAAATTGCGGAAGGGGTTGTTGAAACGGGGCCATTTCGGAGCCCAAAGATTCAGCAGGACCCTTAGGGTAGTAGGGAACCCGGGGCACGTGAAGATTCACAAGGACCAGAACATGGTCAAATAGAAGACTCTGCCCAAAATGTGGGTAGCCGTACCCTTCCTAATGCTCGCGGGTTTCGCCCACATTGCGTTTGTGACAGTAAAATCGCCGACCCCGCCCCAGTGTGTTTAAGTTTGGTGAGCGTTTCAGGGCTCTTCTAAAGTGCTCTTTGATTCTTTGGGGAAGGGGGGGAGGGGGCGGAATCAAGAAGTCACCTTGCGAAACATAACACTTAGTACCCATGGGGCCGTGCCCAACAAAATACATCCCCTCCGGATTGAGGCAGTATGCCCATGTTGTATATATATATATATATATATATATATATATATATATATATATATATATATATATATATATATATGTGTATACACAGCTATGCATTTGCTTACTTGTGAATTTATCTATGTGCAACTTGACTTGCTTAGCTACTTATTTGTGTATATATATATATATATACATATATTGATTTACTTATCAACTCATTTGCTTATTTGGCAGTGGGTCACAAATAGATACCCAAAATGAAACCCTGGTAAATGGAAACATGGACTAAAACCTGCGGTCCCCTGGTTTAATTTTGACCCATACCCGTTTATTCATAGACAAACACCTTCAAGGCTGCAACGTGACCTCCGTCGGATCCCCTTGAGGCCCTTCAGTCCCAGGTCCGAGGCCCGCGCCCCGTCGTGGTTGGCGTCCAGCGCGGCGAAGGCATCCATGCCGGACATCCTCGCGACACAGGAAACACCGCCTGAGCCACAATCGAAACCCGGTTTTTTCAACTGGTCCACCCAGAACCTTTGGAGGGTGGGGTGTTCGCAGTTCTGAGGTTTTTGGGGTTTATCGCTAGGTCTTCCAGTAGAGAGGTTAGAAGGGTACCCGATTTTTTTCTGTAGTCTATTTTAATAGGGAAACCCTCCCCCAAACAAGTTGGTAAAAGGGCACTACTGGGAAACCTATATAGTTAAAATGTCTGCTCCATAGAACACTGGCCCTAAACACGCACCACTGTCCAAGAACCATGGTGGTTTCCTGTTGGTCTCGTGCGATAGGTGGGGAATGAGAAATGGAATGAACCCAGGGATTCCCCAAAGGAAACCATAGGGGACGGTTTAAATGGGTCATTCCATGTCTCATTCCCTGAGCACCAGCAAGGCAAAGGACTTGCCCAACCTGGCCAGGACCTTCAAGGGACCCGCAATATACCCAAAAGGCGGAAGACAAAAAGAGTACTACGCCCCCAAGGACTTTGCCCATAGGACTTGCCCACAGGCAGGCTCACTTTCATTCCGGGCTTATTTTATAGCTTCTACGACCCATTGTGAGGGCGCCGGGTTCTTAGTGACCATATGCAATGGTCTTGAGTCTGGGGGCAAAAGAGAAACCCAAGGAAACAAAACTGGAAAATGGCAATGCGAATCGAAGAACTGCAAATCGACCTAGGTCATGTTGCAAGGGACACTGGCAACCTTGAACAGGAGGCCCATCTCATATCTCATGATTCCTCTAGGAGTTGAACTACCGCATCCTGGGCTCGTCAGCCTCCCAAGACAACCAGAATTTGGTAACGGGCAATTTGTACCCCTTTTGAGGGTTAGCTTAAAGAGAAGCCAAAGGGCAACTACATGGAACCCATTTTCAATAAATTTCTCATTCAGAGGCAAGCCTAGTTTGGGGCAATGGGTACTGAGATCTTTGGGCATCGATTCTTCGCGTCGGTTTCGGCTTCCCCGTCCTGGGGGCGGCCGTAAGGGCCCCACTGAACTTGGAGCGACAATTCTGCGGACGCATGTCATGTTTCGGTACTTAATAAAGGAGGTTAGGCAGTAAAATATCAAAGAGATAACTAACTTGGAAGATAACTTGGAAGACCATATGATACTGGAAATAATCAGATAAAAACCAGGAACCCGCCCGGGATCGTAGGATTTCGTATTCACAAACCAAGCAAGCAGATCTTGGAAACCACGAGATGTCCATCCCTTGGGCCTGGGGCCTCTGACCTGGATTTCCTGCGGTTGAAGAAGCAACTAGGCGCTGCTTTTGCATGGGCACCTCTTCTGGGTTCGTGTGAAGGGAACGCAAAAGAGAAGCCACCCATGTTGGGGTCCCCATTTTGAGACACAAACACGCCCAATTCCGAAAACTGCTCGCTTGAAAAGCCTGACGTAACCACTGTTTGCTCCAAGGCAAGCCAAGAGCATGGATTAAGAGAAACGACCAGTGTACCTTCCGCGGAAGGAGGGGGGGAGGTCTGAAATCAAGGGCTGCTTTGGACGTTTAAAGAAGCAAACCAGCCAGTCACGTCCCCCTATTCAGGACACACCCATTTGAAATCTAGTTCTAAAGGTGACAACCCCCGTCTAGGCTGGACCGCCTAACAAAGCAAGCATATATTTGTTCATCAAGGCGGCAAACTGGGCTGCTTGCCCGAGCCGATGTTCAGCAATCTTTTTGGGTATTGTCCAGATCTGAGGAGCGCGCATTTTATCACTCTGAAAGGGGCTTGAACAAAGCAACTCAGCTCTTATTGGAAATCGAGGGGTTAGTTCTTTGCGAACCCATTGACCAGGATTCGCGTGTCCCGTTTCAGAGTACCTTCAATTTCTGCTTGGGCGAGCACCCCTTCATCTCCCAGTCAACGTTGATTCATCGCGGGAGAGCATCAAGGTTGGGTCAAGCCCTTGTTGAAACATGTCCAAACTCTATTGCTCAAACAAGTAGGCGCTAGGGGCTGGCTGCTTAAACAAAGTCTGCCCATCCCTACTTTCACCGAAAGATGCAACCAGTCACGACGTTCGTTTTGCAAGGCATTCTGCTGGCCTATGGCCGAGACGAGACTAGACCAGGCCGGCAGTGAAACGGCGAAGCCCGCGAGAAGTTTGCGTTGCCGTCTTTTGGTTGCGGAACAGTTCGGCTCAAACAAAAAAGGGAAGTCCGCCCCAGCACATTTCACTATAGTTGCAATTCCGCACGTTTCGAGCATGTTTCATCGTGCGTGCTTAGTGCATGTCACAATCTGGTGGTTCACTGTGTTTCGCACGCGCAGGAACAGCTCAATCAGAATTCGTGCCAGTTGTCTTGCTCAGGTGTTAAAAAGAGCCAAATGTTGACTCGCAAAATACGTGGACTTGAAGTGTGTCCATTGCTAATCCTGACGCAGTCATGGTAAAGTCAACTCCTGGTGTCAAAACCCCGGGAGAATCCAGTGCCGCTGGTGTCAAACCCCGCAAAATCCGGTGCCACCATGGTCCCTTCTCTGCTGTTTGAGGCCCTAGAGAAAAATAAAGAAGAATCGGCAACTCGGCAGCAAGCAATGACGACTGCTGAACTCCTGAAACCCGCTCTCAGCAAATGGAAGCAAACCGCAGCTCGCGGGCGGGGCAGCGATCTTCGTTTCTGCCCCAAAGTGAGCTGATTCTCAGGCCACTTCTTGCTGTTGCCTGCGGGCTGCTTGCGCAATTCCCTGGTAAAAACTTTGGCAGTGCTTCAAAGCAAGTCATAGTATAGCAATTGAAGAATGATGTCAATGCTAGAAGCCAAAATGCTCTGAAGAGTGTCCGGAGGCTCTCGGGGAAAAAACTAAAACCAAACACATGGGGCCTGTTTCCAAAAGGTCGGTTGTTTGCTGCGCAGGTGGATGAGCAGCCCGCAGGCACCTCTAACCTTCCTGAGTCAAGTCGCGGCTGTTTGACAGCCGGCTATCGGGCGAGCGGAAGGCGGCGGAATGATTCGCCCGTTTGCCCGCACACTCCTCTGGGTGGGGCAACTTCAACAGCCTAAGTTGAGGCTGGTTGAAGCTGGAACTGGAGATTCGAAATGAAATGAAACAAAAAAGCAAGAAGAAGCTAGGAGTCCTTTCGAATTGTCCAAGTTGGTGTGTCTTTCTCTTGTCAAACGGGTCAGCTCTGACTCGTCTCAATCACGTCATCCTGAAAGATGGAGATGCCCGGCCTTGCGGATGATTCAGGAAAAAGGCATGTTTCTACCAGAGCAACGGGCAATATGAAAAGGGCGTTTGGCTTTTCATGGTCATTTTGTGGATCCCTTGAAAACATGGATGACCAGTTGTTTGACACAAGCCACTGTGACACCAAGTGAGTCAGAGTCAAAAACCGTGGAATTCAACCCAACACCTCACAAAGAATCGAAAGGGCTGCGGCACCTGGTTCTCGTTGGGACTATCCCGTACTCACCTTCACTTACCCAGGTTTTGGCGGTTGCACTAACGAGGGGAAGGGGGGGAATTCGGGGGGCGGGAATCTTGTGAGATGGCTGTGGTTGTCAAAACCGTTCTGGTACCATTTTGGGGTAGGTGCACCACCCATCTTAGTCTATTTTAGTGGGGATTGGGATGCTCACTGGGGGTACGATTTGGATTTTAACCCGTGGCCAGATCTGCGCCTCTTGTGGTTGCCCTTGGTGATGTGGGTCGCCACTCGGTAGAGACCTCGCGCTGGACCCCCTGCTGTGAAGACTTGTTGCTGCGTAGGCGGGAATACTTTCGGAAACTCAAAAGAGCAAGCGGCTAGTGAGGTCTGGCAACAATGCTGAAAAATACGAACACTACGTTCCTATGATCATGGCGTTCCTTGGTTTTACAGAGCAACATTTAAACTATCAAAAGCTCATGTAGTACCTGCAGAGGGGGAAGCAAACCAGGTCCATCAAAGCGACCTTCTCAAACTGCCCTGATGGTGATTTACAGGGAGAAACAAGAGAAGTCCACATTTCGAAGCCACCAAGCATGTCTTTCGCACTTCCACGGCTTCCCTCATTTCGGGTACCTTCCGCGGTCGAAGCCCTTCGCTCGCGGAAAATCCGCCTCTCTCGGCTGGGCGTCCGTGCGGCCTTGCCTCGCCTTGAGGTCCGCCCGGACTTTGGACATGGCGCCCTGGAGTCGTGGGGCGTCTCGGGTGTCTCTGGCGCGACATGGACATGCCAGGTGAGTCACTTGCTCAAAACCCCGGGATTAAAATGGTCGACCCAGAAGCATGCTTCAATAATTTAGAAGGCGGATATCCGCAGCTGTGTATGGTTGGGATTGTCCCTTACTAACCTTCACTTGCCCGGGATTTGATTGGTGAAATCCTGGGATTCTTTAGACAAGCCCCGGTATAGTTTGGCCCGACTTCACCGTCAAAGTCACCCCCCCTTGTTTGCCTTTTGCGATAGCTATCGTGCACAGGGTCTGTTCGCAGCCATGAACCCGGGGGGGGGGGGGAAGAAGGAGGCCCCAAAACGAAACAAGTGTGTCTTTGACAAGCAGAAACAGTAAAAGTCATGAATTCAGGGCTATGAATTTCAATAAGGAAAACGCCACAAGATAAAGGGTACATTCTATATCCCGCCTTGCTCTGGGGGTAGTGGAAACCATCTTACTTTCCTTTTGAGGACCCCCCCAAAAGAAAAAAAAGAAAAACAAAACAAACACGCGGGCCGGTATGGCGTAAGTGATGGTCTTTCTTGCAGGAAACCAGGTTGTCACAAGGGGGAGGAGTTTGTCTGCTTCTTGATGGAACCGCCAAACCTGGATGGCGACTTCAAGCACATGTTGAAAAGTTGCAACCAGTGACCCGTTCGGAAGGAAAGGAAACCTTTGCTGTTTGGTTGGTTGATTCCTGCAAAAAGGGACAGGGGAACCCTCCCCAAAACCGAGTGGTTTTCACAAATGCGGGTTCCCCTTGCTAAATCAAATAAGATACCCCAAAACACAGGGATGCATTGGCCGCCCCGGGTAGGGACCATTGCCAATAAAGCTTCAACAGGGCTTGACTGGACCTGAGATGGTTTCCATTCGTACATGAGTACAGAAGCGGAAACAAGTCTCTGTCTATGTCCATTCAAGCTGACCCAGAAAGGAAACTTCCTGTGCAGCCGTGCTTTGAATGGACCCCCTGTCTTCACCTCGGGATGTCATCTTTTTCCGCCGGACGGCTCGGCTCAGCTGTCGCAGAGGGAGCGAGCCTCGCCCAAGGGCAGGGACAGCTCCGTGTCGAAGGAGGGCAAGCTGGGCCTGGAGCGGCAGCCCGGGTTTTTGGAGGTACGGAGAAACCACAAGGGGGGCCCTAAGGGGGGAAAAAACAAAAACTTGGAGGGGCCCCTACAAGACACCCCCAACAAAACGGGGCCATACAATTTGAAGGGAGCGATCAGAACGAAACAGAGGGATGTGTGCAAACCGCCCAAAGATGAGGCCCGGTGTTCGTTGCCTTCCAATTAAAAAGAGCCAAGGGCGCCAACTCACGAAAGAAAGTACGACGATTACCCCCGCAACCGCAACCAGTGATTTGTTGGGTAGAGAAAGAAGTGGAACCCTTTTTCGATGTTTGGCTGGTTGGTTTCATGTCTAAGACATGCCCAACTTGCTCAGCGATAAGCGATGCAAGCCCAAAGCTGTCTCCTTGGAGCCCAGTAGAGCTCGGATGCATCTGGGTAAAACATGCCTTATAGCTGGGCTGTTGAATTGGGCCGAGCCAATCCGATTTTCCGTAATCCCTAGTGTACAACCAGGGACCCCTAGAGCCTCTCGCCTTTCGCAACCCAAGGCATGTTTTTTCAAGAGCTGGGGAAATCACAAGCCGGAATCCTCGGGCCTCCGAAGCGCCTCAGCCGACAGTCAAAATGACGCAGGTTCCCCAAAGAGGACATGGACAATCGGGGGCTCTTGCCCCAGTTGTGGACACTTAGAGCCCATACCCTCCCCTCTGTTGCTCCCAGTTAGGACCGTAGAAAAATCAGAAATCTTGAAACTTGCGCTTGCCTCCTTACCAAACCGACAAACGTCCGCCGCTCCGTGCTTGTCTCCTTTGGCTTCCCATAGTCAATCACATCTGCTGTCATCGTTGGTCCTCCAAAACCAGCAACCCCACTCCCTTCACCACACCCCCAAAGGGGGTAAACCCCTTTGACAAATCAACCTGCCTTGAATTTTGCTTTTCCCCGCAAAGTCTGCGGAGACTATTTTTTGGACACGAGTTCTATTTGTGCTTTAGGTCTTTGGAGAAGTCATATCTGTACCTGCCTCAAGACCCTCAAGGGATCCATTGTGGCACCTTCAAAGCCTTAGCCCCCAAGTTTATGCATAGTGATATATATATATATATATATATTTCTGTACCACCCATTTAACCCTTCTGCAAGACTTCCTCCAAAAGACCCTGATTCTTCGGAGGGGTACCCTGGAATCATTCACGAGTCAATCCCCGCGCTTCTTGCCGGCGTGGTGGAGGTTCTTCAGCGCCGGGTCTCCCTGGTACAGCCAACTCCGCTGCGTCCTGCGAGGAACAAAAAACCCACGCGGGAGGGGAAGCAAAGCGGAACCGCCATGTGAGTATCTACAATTCATGCCATCTCTCTCTCTATCTCTGCCTCTCTCTCTCTCTCTGTGTAGTTTTATGCAAGTATGTATATATATATATGCAGATATATATATATATATATATTATATATATATGTGTATGATATGTCTAAGATGTTTGTATTTATGTACATATACACAGGTTAATTTGAGTTTGGTGTGTATGCTGCCGTCAAACCCGTGAACATTTTAACTTACTCTGCCTTACTCTGCCTCTCTCTCTCTCTCTCTCTCAGAGACTCGGTCTGAACTGAGCCCCCGCGGAGAACTTACATGCCCAGCGTCTGTAACGTGGTTGGTCTCTTCCCTTCCTCAACCAAAAGCGGCCAACCCCCCACCTTCTCCCGGCATGGCCTGCATACTCTAAAACGCAGGCGGTCGAAACCCAACCAATCAAAGGCGTTGATACTGAATGCATGCTGCAACAAGTTTCCCAACGCTCAAAAATTGGGTTGCAGTGCAGGGATACTCCAAGGTAGACACTTGCATGTAATTGAAACGAAAACCAAATGACCACATTAACGGTTTCTGAGTCTGAACATTGTGGCTTTGTAATTTGAGCTCGGAGTACCTCAACCATGCAGTCGGCGTGTAACAAACCACACTCACCGCAGCGCTTGTGCCACCCGAGCTGATGTTTGGATTGAAAAAGGCAGAAGTGCGACCATGAGCATCGCTCTACCCAGCCGATACACCTTCCCGTGGAGAGGCCTTGTGTTGGAGCCGGGGTTGGAAGAGTCATTGTACGCCTGATCAACGCAGCACACACCCGAAAGTGGCAGCTGATGTTGCGACGTTTTGCCCAGAAAAAAATATCAAACCTTGGAAGATATATGACTAGTTGTTGGGCTAGAACTTGCTCTTTGGATCAAACACCAAAACTGCGAGTCGTTTCTTGAACCAGTAAGACGCAACGTGTGAAGGGAAATCCACTGGCCTCTGTAGCAAGAATGGCACGTGAACTGTTGCCAAACCAAATCAAAGAGCCGCCCAGGTTAAAAGAACGGAGCCCAACAAATCATTCTGACAAAAAGACGTCGCTCTAAACATGGCAAAGAGCGGTCACGACTTCATGGCGAGCTCACCTGGAAACAAAATGAAGTCACCCTGTACCTGGGGATGCACTTGTTTCAGGTTCTGGAAGATCTGATGATTGATGAAGGGGCGCTCCATATCTCCCTTTTGACCATATTGAAAATAACAATCTATCAGGCGCAGTCCTTTCTCTGGTTCTGTGGGTGCGCGCGCCTGTGACTGTTCAACCTGAACTCAAACAGGTTGCTTGCGGGCTCGAGACTCCACGGGGAAACAGGGGGTATGTTCACACGGAAGGTGTGAAGGGCTGGATTCCAAGAATTGTTGTCACCGTTTCAATTATCTGGAAACTCCAAACTACGCAAACCCCACGGGAAACCATCAGAAGTAGTAGAAGCGCAAAGCCGCATCTAAAGGCCGCAAACTTCATCTAAGCTCGTACCGATGAAGCCCAAATCCTCATTTCAACTGAAGGCTCGCGCCAACTCTGCCCCTTTTCCTTCCGAAGTGGCTCCGGCAAGCTCGCAAGCTCCCCACGCCTCGCCGCAAAGCATGCCCACCTTCATGCCGTTCACCCGGCCCTGGCACGGAACTGCCCAGGATTGGCTATGAAAAACTGGGAACCACAGAACCACCTCAAACATGGTGGACAGCCCGAAACACCCGTGTTTGGTGGTGGCTGCCAACAAAAGGCACATACACACACCAAAGATTGGGAGTGGCCAAAACTAGTTTCACAGGTGAGCAAGTGAATCGGAAGGAAGATCATCCCTCGCGGCTTCAAAGACTGGGCTTGAATCGGGCTCCCCATCTTCCCCCGGAAAGGTCGGATCTGAAGCCGTTTGATCAGAACCCCTTCGATCAGATGGTTCTTTGAGAACTTTTCTCAGGGGGTCGGGGAGCTAAATTTCTTCCCTAATTGAGCGAAGCATGCCTTGTTCTGCGAGGTAACCTAAAAATGGACGCATTTTCACCACCTTCCCCCCCGGAAGGGATGGCCCACCATCTGTTAAAGCATGCTTGAGTTTAAGCCACCATTGTTGAAACACACTCCTTCTGGTTAAGAGGGCCTCGCTCTAATTGGAACACGAACTCTGCCCCGGGTCAACAAAAACCAAAGGAAAACTAGAGGGAAAGTCAAAGGAAGAACATGCATTGGGCTTTATTCTGCTGTTTTAACAAAACAAATGCATGGAAAAACAAAGGACGCATCAAACCATCAAGCCCGAGGAGTTCCATCGCTTGGTTGCCCCCAAAGGAAGCCCGGCGTGCCGGAAACGAGCCGAGAGCCAGAAACGAGCCGAGAGCCTCGGTGTGCTCCGCGCTGAGCCCCGCGGCGTGGGGGATGGAGTAAGCGTCCCGGGTCACCTTCTGGCGGCTGCCCTGGCGGATCGGAGCGAGCCGCAAAACACCCCCGGTGTCCGAAACACATAGCGTGCGGAGGTCCGGGCGAAACACGGTAACAAAAAGGGTTGAGTTGAAGGAAACTCCAATCAAAACCAGGTTCAAGGGGTTGGCTAGAAGAAAACTCCAGTTTGGAAGCTCTGTATAGAAACAAACCCGGTGGATCGTGACGTACCTTGGTGTAATAGTACCCAGTCCCATTCTAAGCGTGGTGAGGATCGGTTTTGGACCCCGGACCCCGGCAGAATCCATCCAATCCATCCAAGGAGTTTCTGGGTATCTTAACTTTGGCTGGTTGGGTTTCGACCTGGGCACGACGCGGTGGGTGTTGGTTTGAAGGAACCAAAGGCCTCCACCTCACAGGTTCTAAACCAAAAGAAGAGTCAAACCGAACCCTTCTGGGAGGTATTGTTTGGTCAGTCCTGTGTTCTTGGTTTGAACCTGCAAACCAGATTATTCTGAACATGGGCAAGCCCTGGTTACCTGCAACCATTGCTACATTTCACCCACCTGAATAAAGGGCTCTTAAGTGTACATAACGTTCGTGGGTGAGCTCGTTCACCAGACATGGATGAGATTGGGTTATGATGATGATCCACCGGGTACATCCCTTCCAAGTTGACCAGATGTCTGGATGCCCGGCGAAAAGTTCACGAATTGTTGGTTGAAGGGAACAAAGGTTAGTCAAGTCTTCGGGCGCGTGGTGTTTTTGTCGGTGACAAACTCTCTATAGAAAAAGGGCACATTACTCACTGCGAATTGAGCAAATGGAAGCCGATGGTTGTCCAAACCCATCGCAAACTAGGGCAAATGGATCGATCAGGCTTAGCTTGTTCGCAATTTGTCCAGCTGCGTGCTCTTGAGATCTCTTGAAACTTGAGAGCGCCTGCTTCGGCATTAAACTTGAATTCCAAAGCTTCCAAGACGTTCAAAGCCGGAGCCAAATGACTTCGACTTCCGGGGGAAGGACCCAATCCATACCCTGGTTGTGCATGAGACCGTTTTTGGAGCTCCCAGTACATTGGGCTTGGGAACTCATCAATCGGCCTCCCCATAGAACTCGCCGTGAGTCGTGTTGAAGAAGCGCTTATCGTGGTTGTCCTCGGGGCTTCCATGGGAGGCCAGCGTCGTGCTTGACCCCATGACGCTTTCGCTTTCGCGGAGCAAGGCCTTGTTTTCACCCAAGACCAAGCTGTTTTCTTCTTGGGGGATTTCCTTCGGTTTCCATGTTGGTCAGGGAGGTCCTTCCTCGACTTGACAGGACCTCGGCTCGTGACCTTGTTTGCCTCGATGCTTCTAGCACTCGTGTTCAGGCCATCTGGCCTTTCAAGCTCTCGCCTGTCAGATGGCGTGGGTCTGCCTCGCAATAAATGAAGTACCCCAGTTCGGATGGTTGGAAAAAGGAACTAAACGAAGAACACCCACCAAACTGGGAATATAATGCTTCAAGAAAGAATTATCGGAACCAAACAAAGGGAAGCAAACAAAGAACATCCAACAGCAGAGGAAACCAAACACAAGGAACCAAACAAAGAACCCTCAAAATTGCCCTCTGAAGGGTGGTCACAGGGGAGAACCCCTCACATTACAATTGATCTACCTCAGCTTTTGCCCCCAATCAAAAAACTATTCGACTTCTACAGAACATGCGTAGAGAATATATACGGAACGAACCTTCAAATCCAAAACTATTCCAACGGCCCGGAATTCCCAGAACAACTGACATAGCTCAGTCAAGCTGGCAACCAAAGATGTACCAGGTCCTCCAGTAGAGAGGTTAGAATAAGGGTACCAACTTTTTTCTGTAGTCTATTTTAGTAGGGGAACCCTCCCCAAAAAAAGAAAGGATCAGATTTATTATGATTATGGGAGTTTGTGTTCGTTTTTGTGTGTGTGTGTTCCCCCGTTTTGCCGTATTTTACAGCATTGTCTCGCAAAATTGACGTATTTTGCACCAGCCCGTCAACATCCCGAGCATCGTTTTCAACATCCCCCGCATGTCTGACCAACATCCCTAGCATCACCAAACAACTGGTACAAAATCTAAAGAAGAAGCTGGCCGGTTGACAGGGTCGAAAAAATGATGATTCAAATAGGAGGGCATTTCACTCGCAGCAAAGCAAATCTAAACAGTAGCAGGGGGGTTGGCGGGGGCGGCAGCCCCCCCCCATGATGTTCGCAGAAGTGATGATTCGCATAGGGGTGCAATTAAATCTCTGCAAAAAGTGCCCCCCCATGATGTTCGAGGAAGTGATGATTCAACTACGGGTGCAATTAAATCTCTGTAGCAAATCTGAAAAGTAGCGGGGGGGGTGTATGTTCGAAGAAGTGATGATTCAAATAGGGGTGCAATGATTCAAGAAAGGGTGCGATAGAATATAAAAAGCAGAGGGAGGGTTGGCGGGGGTGGCTTCCCGTATGATTTCGAAGAATACATACATACAAACATACATAGATTACATAGATTACATAAAAGGTCGTATTTTACAGCTTTTTCTCGCGAAATTGGATGCTCGAGAACGTGATGAACCAAATAAAGGGGTGCAAATTAAATCTAAAAAGTAGCGGGGGTTGGGGGGAAGGCGGCAGCCCCCGCCCAGGATGTTTGAAGAAGTGATGATTCAAATTGGGTTGCAATCAAATCTTTGCAAACAATCCTAAAAGTTGCGGGGGGGTTTGGGGGGGCGGCAGCCCCCCTCCCATGATGTTCGAAGAAGCGATGATTCAAATAGGGATGGACTGGTGATGCTGGGGATGCGGGAAGCAAAAGCCAAAAACCAATGAACCGGAGAGGAACTAGGAAAGCAGAGGATGCGCCAAAGCCACCAAAAGCTGCATAAACCAGCGAAAAGCTGCAAACGCCACCTGGTTTGAACTGGGAATGCAGAGGATGCGAAAAGCCAAAGGCAAAAAGCCACCAAAAGCCGCGTAAAGAAGCCAAGAAGCCAAGAAGCCAAGAAGCCAAGAAGCCAAGAAGCCAAGAAGCCAAGAAGCCAAGAAGCCAAGAAGCCAAGAAGCCAAGAAGCCGAAAAGTCAAGAAGCCAAGAAGCCAAGAAGCCAAGAAAAGCCAAGAAGCCGCAAAGCCAAGAAGCCAAGAAGCCAAAAACAAAAAAACCAACAACAAAAAATACCCCTCCAAAAAGAAACGGTACAAGGGAAGAAAGCCCATTAGTTGGCAAAAAGTGAAAGTCCTAACATCCAAGCAAAATGCACCGAAGACAGATACTCAGATGCCCAGTGCCCATGGGAAAATATGGCACCTTTTTTTGGTTGAGTTTCAAGGGGAACCCTTACCCCCAAATACAAAGGAAAAAAGGGCACCACTGAACAACTGGGGCAACCAAAGATGATCAACACATGTCGATCTCGCGGTGAACCGATTGCAGGGCTTCGCGCAGGATGGCGGTGGATGTGGGCGCCGAAGCCGCTGCGGGGGCCCGGCAGCTCCCGGACCTCCTGAGCCGCGGCCGGGGGATTTTCCACGCGCATGCCCGGGTTTTGGGAGACTCGTTTTGGGCACCCGTTTTTGAGAGTACTCGTTTTGGAGTGGGGGTTTAAGGGTCAACAGAAATCCTCTCAGTTACTGGGGTTCACCATTTTCAGATCCCAAGAGGGCTCTAACAAATGGATTCCTGACAAATTGCTACACACATAGCTGCCTTTTGGTTGGAACCCGTTTTTTTAAAGTACGTTCAGAGTGCGTGGAAGGTTGGGTCACGCCTTTGCGTTGACCTTCTTTTGTTCAAGGACATTCCCCTACTACACACTCCCAAAAAGGGATCCGTGGTTTGCTTACATGACCTGGTAGGCAGCGGAGCTTGGGGACAGACCTGAAACCCTCCGGTTACTTCGGAACATGACCAAAGGAACCGGTGTGGCTTTGGGGTGAGCAGATGCTCCCTTGCATTTCGGGCTCTGCAGTCAAAAGTAAACAAAAGTTGCCAGATCACGTGGTATGTGTTCCTTGGCCTTCCACCCACATGGAACCTACCAGAGAGCCGGAGAGAAAGAGGAAGAGACAGAGAGAATGAGAGAAAGAGACAAAGAGAGAACGAGAGAAAGAAAGAAGAAAAAGAAAGAAAGAAAGAAAGAAAGAAAGAAAGAAAGAAAGAAAGAAAGAAAGAAAGAAAGAAAGAAAGAAAGCAAGCAAGCAAGCAAGCAAGCAAAGCAAAGCAAAGCAAAGCAAAGCAAAGCAAAGCAAAGCAAAGCAAAGCAAAGCAAAGCAAAGCAAAGCAAAGCAAAGCCAAGCAAGCAAGCAAGCAAGCAAGCAAGCAAGCAAAGCAAAGCAAAGCAAAGCAAAGCAAAGCAAAGCAAAGCAAAGCAAAGCAAAGCAAAGCAAAGCAAAGCAAAGCAAAGCCAAGCCAAGCCAAGCCAAGCCAAGCCAAGCCAAGCCAAGCCAAGCCAAGCCAAGCCAAGCCAAGCAAGCAAGCAAGCAAGCAAGCAAGCAAGCAAGCAAGCAAGCAAGCAGAGAGAAAGAGAAAAAGAGACAAAGAGAGAAGGCGACAAGAGAAAGTGAGAAAAAGAGAAAAACAAAGAAACATATACTTTAAAAAAGAGAAAGAGAGCAAGAGAGAAAGAGAGAAGAGAAAAACAAAAAAGACAAAAAGAGGGGGGGTGGGGTGGGGGGGGGGGGTTAAATTGGGTTGGGTTTTGCAAAATGGGGTGGGATCGAGAAGTTACTACACACAACCAGCCATAAGAAACAACTCCCCCCTTCCCTCAAGAAAGAGACCTCGCCACCCCCAACGACAATCAAGTCATTAGGAGACCTCTGTGCAATAGAAATCTGCGGGCCAGGAAAACAGACCTTGGAGAGGAAGCCCTTCTCCACTCCCAAAACACGAAAACTGGTTGCACCAACAGGCGAGAGGCGGGAGGGCAGACCGGTGCATTGGCGGTGGTGATCATCGTCGGGGCCTCAGCCAACAAAAACCTGCTGGAGTTTAGGGCTACAAAATGGTGGTGCTTTTTCGGGGTACCCTTCTCACCTTGGCTGAAGGGAAACCCAAAGGAAAACTACCATCTTAGGGGTCCCCCTAGTTTGACACATACCCTAATAGCCCCCCTCTTGAGTTCGAGCAATTCCCAAAATGTCATCAAGGAGCCCCTGCAGCACCAATTGTAAAAAGGGGAAAGCAAGCTTCCAGAATCTCATTGGCTTGCTGGTCGGACCGTCCAGTGCTTCCGGGAGCAAAGAGCTGGTGATTTCACCTGGAAAGATTTTCAGAGGTGTCCATGGCCCCACCATCCTCAGGGATAAACTGGCATTTTATGTGGTGGCTGTAGAGCCGCGACAATAAGCCAGCAGGGCGTGAGAGGGAGGTAGTGGAAACCCGGCCCTGGCATTGCAAGATTTGCCGCACCAACAGGATATGAAAGACTTGCACTGGGAAATCACTAGGACGTGCCACAGCGAAACCTTGCTCAAGACCCCCCCGTGAAGCGCACCCAAGTCAGCCAACACACATCTTCTCTTCGCAGCACTGATTCAGGATTCTGGAATATGACGGCTGTTCAACATTGAACATGGTGTGGGGCGGCCAATGCGATTCTCCATATTCCCTGTTGAAATTACATGCCATGAACAAATGATTACTCTTATTATTTTGGCGCCAGGGGGAAGGGGGTTCCCTCAGTTCAAGACAAGCTTATGCCGGTGGTTTATTTGGGTTTCTTCTACAAAACACAAGCAATATGTTGAATCCTGTTCGTTCTTGACGCCAAATAATTCAAAAGATCCTGACACATCTGGGGAGCGAATCTCAGAGCGCAGCGATGGCATGACCTTTTCCCCAGTCGTTTCGGCTCCTCGGGCGAGAGAGACTGGGTCAAAGTAGATCGTAAGCTTCTGCCATGTTGGATTCACAACCCCCCGGTACTACTAAAGGGAACTGTGCCACCTACTTCCACGCTGTACCTGCTGGAAGACGTCTGTGGAATCGCCATGAGGGTATACATTATCAGACGCCAACCATGCAAGTTGTTCACCTGGATCACGCAGATTCTCGCTCGGGATCCGAGGAGTCTCCCTTTAGCCAAAAGCTTCCATTGAGATTGGGATCCCCATGTCCAAATGGAACCCACAAGGTCCCCGAAAAAGGGTCAAGCTTCGTCTGTGTCCATAGCCTGGGTTAAGGAGTTCGGTTTGCCAACTCAGGTAAGAGTGGCAGGTGGCAGGTAGCTGCGGGAACTCAAGCGACAACGCACATTTGGAAGCCCTGGAACACTGTCCCTTTGGTGGCCTTTCAAACCATACTGCAATTCTCCATGTTGAGTCAAACATCAGGTACCCAAATTGAACCTCTAACTGCCTGTCTCAAAATAGGTGAAGCCTTTTTGGATGGCTTAAAGGGAAAAGGAGTCCACCTGGCAGACGCCCCGCCTGGGATCTTTGAAGTCGGTCAGCGACGTGGTTCCCTGGCGTCAGATCCCAGGCCGAAACTCCCAATGCACCAAAAACGGGCTGGGCTATAAGACGTGTATTATATGAATATGTGCATCTATGTACGCATGTACGCATGTACACAACGTTCGTGTGTGGTTGTTCGTGGGTTGGTTCGTCCATCTGTTTGTTGGCTTCTGTGTTTGCTGCGTTGTCAGTGTCAATGTATCTATACGTAATAAGCCCTGCATTATTTACAACATGTCCAACACATGATATAAGGAGTCCACAAGCAAAGGACTCACATCACGGTGAGCTCGTTTTACCCTCATGTGAGCTTGCCACAAAAAAAAAAGAAGATATACAATGGACACGTGGTAACCCTAGCACATGCCGAGAATGAGATGTTTGCAGCCAGCTTAAAACCTTTGACAAACAAGAGCAGACAACAACGTTACACCGATAAAACAGGGGAAGCCTGGCCCGGTCAGCACACCACAAGCTCGGCTTCGGCTGCAAAATTATGCAAATGGGCCGCGTGTTTTTCACAATTCTGCGCACCATCGCAGGTGAAACTGTTCGTTTTCAGAGCCCAAAGGACCTGCAAATAAATGGTGATCTCCTTTTGGAACCTTAACCAAAAGAGACCGACATTGGAAGTCCAAAAGGTCAAAAGGGCCGTTCGCTTTGGGCAGGTCATGGGTGCTTGCTCGTTGTGCCCCCTTGGTGAGCTCACTAGGGGGAAACTCGTAATTCCAATCCAAACAAACCGAGCTCAGCAGCCGGGAGCTCGGGGCTCACTCGGCCGTCTTAGCGCGCCCAGCCGTGAGACGCGGGAAATCCTGGGCGAGTCGTTGGCTTCTCGCCGGCCATCACCCGGGTGCGTTTGTCAAAACGAGAGCTGTTTCTCCAGAGAATGCAAGCAGCCATGAAGGTCCTTGAGAATTCAGTCTTTTCGGTTTTGTGAATCAGCACAATTTCCAAAGGATAACGTGACTCGTGGCTTATCGAGTTCAAGTAACCCAAGCAACCCGTGGTCATCCGCAACTGAGGCAAACCATTTCCAGCTTCACGGGCACAGGTCGACCCTTCCCTGTCCGCATTTCATATGCAAAAAATGGCCAACGAACGGCTTGCCGGCCGGATGTGCGGACTTCTCGTCCTAAGGAGATACTCCCTTGTGATCGATAACAACCAAGAGATACGGAAGGAGAATGGGGGCACATAAAGGCATGCCCTACTACATCTACTTACTGGCGGCTTTTCTTCCAGTTGTGGATGGGTTGGCCAGACATGTTTCGATCGGGGCCGCGACGCAAGTTTGATACCCCGAGCACGTACTCCAGGAATTGTCACTTTGGAGAGGCCCAGTTTCTCCCATAGCCATGTGCCGGGTAGGTTTTTCTGAAATCCTTGGAAATACTCCAAAGGGAAATCCAGAGGAGACCAAGAGTCTTCTGCTGTTTCACCTTCTGGAGACAACCGCAAAGCTTGTTCACACTTTTACTGGGGGATATCCCCCCCGCCCCCGCGCAACTATTTTGTATTCTCGTGTGGCCAAAACCTATTTTTTCCAGAATCGTCCAAGCAATGCAGCGAACAGAAACATGAAACATACCAGTAATATAGGCTTGCTTATGTTACAAGCAAATCCCGTCATATCTCGTACCTTCACCGATTGATATGCTGGTGTTGGGGTGTATCTTCATTTCTTTCTGTTGGATACAAAACAACTTCCAAACTCGGATGTCCTGCTTGGACTGCCCAAGGCCCCCCCAACCTCGAGTTTTCCCGGGCTCAGACCCGGCACCAAAGATATCCTTGCTCAAAGGGTTGGGGAGGTAGCTAAGTTGGCAACCTCCAGTCAAATCCCAAGTAACCCGGCGGAGTATCTTTTGCAAGCTTGCAGCCACCCTGTTGAACTGCAATTGCGCCCTGTCCAGGTGAAACGAGAAAAGGCGAGAACTCTGCTACGACGCTGGGCTGAGCTTACTTATGATATGGAGAGATTAACGAAGGATCTTTCACGCCCGGCCCCGCCCGGCTCCTGGCTACTCCCCCATCAACTTGGACAGCGTCTTGTCGATGTCGTTCCGGATGTTCTCAGGAAACGGGTAAGTGTCATCGAACTAACCATGCACCTCTCACCTGGGCAAACTGAAATCCACATTGATTTGGTTGGGGTGCCTGAGGAGGGCCCGGCCCAGGCAACCATTTGCGTATCAATTCCAAAAAATAAACCTGAAAATAAGGGATCCCCGGGCAAAGGACCTATATATCATGGTGAGCCCCCTGGCGAGTGCGCCATAGAGACAGAACGAAGTCGCCACAGGGTGCTTAGAACCTTGGGGTGGTTGATCCAAACGCCCAGTTGTTGAACCTTTCTGGGGGGTAGGGCGGTGCGATGTTATCTCTCCTCAAAGCAACCAAACGGTTCTGTTTGACCCCGAATCTGGAAATCAACCTTTTGGGGGGAACCAACCAGCAATAAAAATATTGGCCTGCCCCTGCACGGACTGGATCCGAGCAGTCGGAAGGGCGGAGCTAGCGAAGTGAGTAGTGACCCCCAGCTAGCCCCTCAGTTCACCCCTCCCGAGCAAAAAAAACACATAGAAATGAAAGGACTGAGGTCTTTAAAATTTAACCAGACAGTTCACGGCTTGTTCACTTCAGCGACGTGAAGAGCAACGAAAAGGCGCTTGGCCGGCCCGGTCCTTCACCCTTGCTCAGCGATGTGAACAACTGGGCAGGCGTTTTTGTTGCTGATCGGAAAGGCCCTGCAAGAAAAGCAAACAAACCCATCACCGTCTCTTCCCAGCTGGTATATCCAAAAACCCACCAGTCTGTGCAGTCCCATCCACTAAGGTGGAAGGCCCCGGGTCTGGAGGACAGCTTTCCTTTCAAGAAACACTCGTGTTAGTGGACGGGAAGGCAAAAACACCTTGCCAAGTAAAAATGGGTGTGGGTCAAAATTCAAACACCAGGATATGGACCGCAGGTTTTCGTCTACTTTTCCATTTACCAGGGAAACCCATTTTGGGGTTACCTTATTTTTGACCCACAGCCAAATGTCGTCAAGAACCCGGGTCTTTGCCGAGCGTCTCCTATGAGAAACTTCCTCTCCCATACCAAGCCGTTCACCTGCGAGGGCGGCTCAAGCACAAGAACAGTCCAGGCTGGAATTAGGACCCCAGCAAAAAATCATATCCTTCTTGCCTGGTTAGTGGAAAACAAAGGGACCCAAAAAGCCCAAAAAATAAAACAAATGGGGGGGAGAAGTTCTGGGGAAGCAGTGGTTGCGAAACGTGCCATGCCTCAGGATGTTTTCGACACCCCGCCAGAACAGGCATAGAGATCGTCACAACCCAAACGAAAATGTGCGGGGACCTGTGCTCCATGGATTTCGGCTTTTGACCCTCAACTGCAACCTCCAGTCGTCCAGCGTTTTTAATGGAAATTTCCGAAAAGGTCCCCCCCCCTCCCACACAAAAGGTATCAGGACCCTCACGCAACAGGCCCGGGGCAAGGATTCCCATCTCTGGGTTCACGTCGAAACCACGCCCAAATGCACTGGTGAGAAACAAAACACTCGGTCGGTGCTACACCTGCACATACTTGAGTCAATCTTTTCTAAAGAAATGGCGACTGCTGTTTTGCCGACTCAACAAATAAGATTAGTTGAAAGACCCGGCATGGGGGCATGTTCCAGACTGAAATTTGGCCTTGGTGTGGGCCGCAAAGGAGGGGAGCCGTAACACTAGGCTCACAGGAAAAAGCAGCTTGCTTTTTTTCCCAATGTGTCAAAAAGCATCATGATGTGGTCAACCCCAAAAGGAGCTTTGAAGCCTTACGGCTGACTCCCAATTGCAAGCAAACCAGCGCGGAACCATGTATCAAAACAGGATGTCCACTACCCCCGCTCCACTATCGGGTCGCAACATAACCATTTAAAGGCTATATATTAACCGTCTTCCCGATCTTGGTAGGGCTTTGAGCCCCGGCCAGACCATTTTGTTTGCAAAAGGACACCTATATGGTTCCATGTTCGTTGGAGGCAGAATGGGGCAAAACCCCTTTTTCTTCCTGTTTCTTGAGAAACACACAGTTTAAAAATCCTGCCTCCATAGGTGGCCAGGGTATGGCTTTTGAACGGGAGGCAGCACATTTCACGCAGCCGACCTGCAGCACTTTTTCCCACCTGCGCCAGCATCCTCGCAGAGGCTGTTTCGCACCAAACGGTGCTTCCAGCAGGCATCGGCATCCCGAGAAACCTCCTTCCTTTTTCAGGATTGTTTTTTGGCCTCGTGGCCAACCGTCATTTAAGAAAACTCCAACCCCTGACTGGGTGCCGAATAACCTGTGCATTATTTGCCCAAGAAGCCGCAAGATAAACAGGGCTTGTTGCCTAGTCAAACCGTGTTAGAAGACATTCGGCCCTCAGCCTTGCCTGGGTCCCATCCAATGGATTGCAACCCCCCCTTTTCTTCCATTTGCCTAAGCCCCCCTGGAAGAAAAAAAATATGTCCAGTAGTGAGATCGATTCCCTTTAAAATCAAGAGGGGGAAAAACTACTCTTAAGCACATGGAAGTTTTGGGGTTCCAACAACCTGCTGCCCAACGGGGGCTTCAGAACCGGCGCTCCAGAAGAGCCAGCAGCTTCTCACGCCTGCCTGCGGCTGAGGTGGCCGGCTGAGGGCCTGAAGTTCTTCATGGGGGACCCTTTGGTGGACATCCGTTGCGTCACTTGCTCAAAACCCGGTACAAAAAAGTGGTCGTAGTCCCAGAACCATGCTTCAAGAACTAAGAAGGCGGATATCCGCAGCTATCTATGGCTGGGATCGTCCCTTACTAACCTTCACTTACCCGGGTTTTGATTGTGGCTCCTTTGAGTGGCGATTCATGTCCACCGAGTCGCCTAATCAAAGTACACTCCGTGATTCTTGCTGAGGAAGCGAAATCACAAACAAAGATGGAACCTGCAAAGGTGTTCCTTCAAGAGGAAAGTGCTCTGGGAGCCTCATTCAGGTTCCGTGTTTGCTTTTGGGAGCGAAAATAGCACGTCAAACTCGGTTGGTCAAACTGATCCTCGTGTTCCGAGATTGCGCACAAGGTAAGCGCTCAAATTGTCCCCCCGGTTTTCCCGTTTGCGGTGAATGCAAGGCACAGAGCTGACCCTCTGCAGAAAATATGGCTCGCCTAAATTTTCTGGACAGCTTCTCAAAAGCAAGGGGCAACTACTGGCACACCAAAAGAAAGCTTCGGTCAAACTACCAAGGTTTCGGTCAAGCCAAACAACCAAAGAGCCAATGCTCGCTGAGAAAGGCCCAAAACGAGGTCAAACCAAAGCGGACTGCGTCCGAAAAGCAGTAGGACCGGGAAAAAGCGCTCCTTTTGGGGCTTCCAGCCAGAAATAAAACACACACCCAAAAGGGAAAAATCACTTCAACTTGGCCTTTTCAAGAGCTGATCTGACCTTTTGTAAAAATACAAAAGGCGAATGATTAGAACCAAACTACGGCCAAAAAGCAGGCAAAAGGACACATATGGTTGTCCCTCCTGGATCGGAGTGTTGTATCCTTTCGGGTTGCACTGTCAGTCTGTGGTGATCCCATGTTTGGCAGTTTTGGAATCCGAACAAGAGGCTTGAAGGGTGAGAGGATCTCAAAAATTTCGGGGACCGCAAACCGGGTTGTCCTTTTGGTGTGCGCAAGAAAATGGACCTGAATGACTGGTCGGAAAAATTGAAACCTTCTGGGGCTTGACTGACGTGAAGAAGAAACCTACCCACGAAAAGCTTGATTGTCGTCGACTCAAAAAGTCACATGAAGGACCAGCACTGGATCTAGTAAAACCAGACCAGCCCCCCCCCCCTCTCAACACAAAGTGGGACACCCCCTCCCTTCAAAACGACGAACTTCGCCCAAACCATTTTGAACACTCCGCGGGTTCCGATTCGGGTTTTTCGTGATGCCACATCCAATCTCAGCACCAGGCCCTCCGCGAGCTTCAGCACCTTCGCCTGACTCGTAGGGTATGGCCATGAATTGAAAGTGGGGAACGCCGTTTGGGGTTGGTGATGTCAGGGAAACCAAAGAACAGCCTCCATGTTGAAGGCTTCCCTCTTTTGAGACAGATTCATTTGGACATCAAGCCCGTGGAAGTGATGTCCAACGATATGTCCCTTAGAATTCAAAAGCGTTTGGATTGTTTGGCCCCCCCTCCCCCCCCTCCCCCCACCCCCCCGATTTCCCCCCCCAAAAAAAAGATCCTGACAAAACCAGAGGGATGGGGGGAGGGGGACTGAACCCTGTGTGGGAAAGTTAGAGAGTTCCCAACGTCCCTCGCCAAGTGGCCAGGCAGAAATCAGATAGGGCCCCCGTTTGCTCCAGGGGTTGTGATATTCCAACCCAGACCATGGACCATTCGGGTACAGTATGGGTTAAAATTGAACCACCTGGATATGGACCGCAGGTTTTAGTCCTTGTTTCCATTTAGCAGGGTTCCATTTTGGTACCTTTTTCGATCCACCCCCATTTCAGGGAAGCCCCCTTCTAAATGGACTTAACATGAGTCCCTGCAATGGCTGACCCCTCTTCACTCGCTTGGTTCGGCCAGTGACTGCTTCGACCCACGAATACACCCTACCACTCAGTGATATCTTACCATCGAAGTTCCCAAGACAACTCATGCAAGTCTTCATGTGCCAGAGAGTGAAACCATACAAGGTTTCCCTCAAAAGTGTCCCCCTGAAGTGTGGGGACTTCCCAAATCTGTCCTCATTCAGGCGCACCAGGCCCTGCGAGGGAGGCCCCTTGGGGGGGACCCGCTCATGGAACATAAAAACGAGCCCCAACAAAGCCCAGAGACCCTGGTAGAAAAAGGGAACCCTTTTTGGGCGGGTGAAGACTTGAGCGGGATTCACCAAACAAAGAAGGGGATTTACAATGTGGAATGCGTTCACCAAAGGAGGGTGGCCGGCCCGTCTTGCGAAATTACGGAAGGAACCCAAAAGGGTCCATTTCCCAAAACGTGTTTTCCCTGAAGTTCTTTGACTGTCCACGTGGTTTTGGCCCAACATGTCGGTCTATGCTAGCTCTGGTGGAAAAGGTAATGCATCAAAGAGTCAAGTTGCATCTGCAATTTTCACAACAATCTCTAACCTAGACCTAAAATTGAATAAGGGATCCTCGAGTTATGGGCGCTTCATCGCTCACTCCGCTTGTTTACCCACCGCCCCGGCGCGATGCGCGAGGCTCCCAGCCTCAAGTGCCTCCGCCTCCGCCAGAAGCCTTGGGCCGACTCACGAGTAAACTTCGTTTGGTGGGATGTGTCTGTTGAGCTGCAGGGGAGTAAGATGGTTTCCACCCCCGAAACCACTCTCCTCAGAGAGTTGGTCTGGGGGCATTGGAGGTAGCGGAGACCGTTTTCAAAAGGCGATGTTCCAAGTCGGCCAAAAAGGGGAAGTATGAGTCAAAACTAGCTTGCCTGAAATAAACCGTGGTTTCCCACGATATAAACCAGCTGAAAAGGGTAGCATGAAAACACACAAAGACACCGGATATGCGGAGACGTATCAAAAGTGTGCCACCTAGGAAAAGGGAGCGGCGGTTCGCGCGGGTTCAAAATTGCCGGGAAGCGATCTTTCCCTTCAGAAAGCCACAGGCGAAACGGTAGGAAATGTGGTGCTTGAAAAGAAGGATGCTTGAAGATAATGGGAAATCAAGCCCTCCATTGGAGACCCTATTGACATCATCAACATGCTTGGATCTATGCAATCACATTTTTTGGAGGCAGTTCCACATTTCGAGGCTGTGTTAACAACCGCAATTCAGATATTGAGTCCGCCGTTTCCTAAAATTCGACACTCCCCGCCTGGCTCGAGAGGGTGCTGACCAGACCTACACCCGCAGCAAAAAGTTCCGATACATGTCAGGTGACCCTTGCAACATAAACTAACTTCAAAGCAACCCAAAAAATCCCCCAAGACCAATGGCACCCGTCTGGGGGGCCGCACATGCCCTCTGGCGCCTCCGGCATCGACGCTTCCTGGGAGGTAGGTCAAGCTTTGACCCACTTGCCGACTCACTCTCTGTTGCTCTGGCAAACAAGAACCGCTTCTGGCTTCGGAACCCAAAAGGTGTCGCTGAACAGCCCACGGCAACACGGGCATTCTGCATGAACCAGGTTCATGTTACTTCCAGGCAGATGTAGCCACTCCCCGCAAGAAGCGCAAAGACACCTCTGGCTCAAACAATGACATGCCTTATGTCCCAAGCTTCGAACAAAAGAACCCAGACGTCTGCCTACATTCATATCTTTTCCGAAAGACTTGCTGACTTTCATATCTCCTTTGGATATTACATATATATATATATATATATACACACACGTGAGGCAACCCAGAGTACAAACCCAGGCGATTTATCTGCAAAACATGGCCATGGGTTTGAGTCTGTTCTGATGCACATGCAAGATATTTGCATTCGGGATGATTGAACCCAAGCGTTCACCAACGGTACCCAAAATGGGACTTGATCGTCTTACAGCCGAGGGAGCAAGCCGCCAGCGTCATGCTCCGAACTTGGCCGAGGTGCTCACCGGAATCCAACGCGGGGCCCCTCTCAAAACACCCGCTGTTTACGAAAGCACTGGAAGCAAAAAGTTCAAGTAGTGAACCAAAAGCCGTGGAACGTCCGAACTGAGGAAAAAAAAACAACAGCAAAAAAAACTGCGCGGAACGAGTGAACCAACTTGGCAACCGAGTGAACCAAAAGCTGCTGAACTCAGTCGGGCAATTCCGCGGAATTTCGCGCCACGGGGCTCCCGCCAGGCGCAGGCGTGGCAGCAGCCACCGCACGAAGCCGGCGACTTGGGCGGCCTGGCCGATCGATCGTCGATCGAAGGGGCGACCGGAAGAAAATCGAAGAAAATCAAAGAGAAAAATACACAAGGACCTTTAGAAAGAAACTGTACACAAGGACCTTTAGAAAGAGAATCAAACAGGAAATCAAACCGAAACTAGGGGGGTGTTCCCCTCCAAAAGTGATGAATCCCCACTAAAAGCGGACACCCCCCCACCAACCAACCAGGGGTTGATTAATCCGGGGTTGACATCATACACAATGGAAACCTGGGTGGGGGTTGATTAATCCGGGGTTGACATCATACACAATGGAAACCTGGGTGTGTTTAACGAGCCCGTTCCTTAGAGTCAAAAGGCAAAGCCACCGGTGCACCCTATTAAGGGGTGGCAAGAATCCTGCGACCTTTTGGCAGCGCCATCGGGACCTTTGGCGTGCCACAAACACACGAGGGTTCAAAAAGGAACACGTCCAAACTTTGGACCCCACCCATGACTTGTTTTTTTTGTGTAAGGGGGTCACAAAAACAAATTCCAACATGGCATCCATTTTGGAAGCTGCCCAAAAAACCGCATCTTGATCCAAACCCAAATTCTGCGAACACCGGGTCCCCAGTCCCTGGCAACCCCTGGCAACCCCCCCGACAAAGTGGCAACAGCTGGTGCGGGAGTCCTAACAGCGACGTCTTGGCTCTGGATCCTTCCCGGTTGAGCTTGGCAGTCTAATTGTGTATTCCCAAAAGATGGGAAGTTGGCTATGGAGTTGGAAGTACTGGGTATGTCTCCATACATCTATATTTGGTTGGAACAGCTATGACGTCATAGGAACAGCTGGTCAACACCTTTATGAATGAATACGTCAAGGACGCGTGAAGTATATTTCGCTCGGTTTCAAATCTGCGCCTCATCGACTTGGAGGATATGGTGACCAACTTGTCCATTTCGCCAGTTGCAAGACTTGACAAGGGGAGACACGAAAGGCAGAATACCGTGACGTGGTCCCCTAATGTGTCGCAAAGTGGGCGGCCTTGAAACACAAAGAGGAAAACGGCGCTAAAAGCGGACCGAAGTGTAAAGCGAAGCGAGAAGACGGAAAAAGGAGAGAGCTGCCAATCAGGCAAGGGGGCGGAATCAGGGGGGGTCGAAGGGGGGTGGGGGGGGGGGGGGAGCGGGGATCGTCCCGACAGAATTCATATTCTGAAGATTATTCAGAATCACCTAAAGCGAGGCCTGAACGGCAGCAGGACTCATCCGGAAGAGAGAGAACATATCCCGGCGTTTGTCGTCGGGTCTCAGCCATGAGGCCAACGGAAGTTCATCCGTGGCCCGATGCTTCGCTGGAGCTGCAGGTCAATGTCAAACTCCGGAGCTTCGACTGGGACTTCGGCAGCTTTTGAGGACACCCCCCTCTTTGCTGCACAGATCCCCCGCCCCCACCCCACCACACCCAATCCTACTCCACCCAGAGCCCCACCCCCACCCCACCTGGACCCTCCTCACCCCACCCCCACCCCCCACCCCATCCGCCACCCTACACAGCCCCCTGCCTTCACCGGCCTTGCTTTGGTGGAGTCTTCCTCCCCGGGCGCATCTGGGAAGTGTTTGCCCAGGAACTCCTCCAGTCAATGCAGCGATCAAACTTAGACGAGGGGATGGGCCCTCAAAATTATGTTGAAAGCCGGCTTCAATCGATTGAGATGGTCCCCTTTTTTGGAGGACGTCACTATAGTGGAGTGGACACTTCCCACTCTCTTAAGAATCATAGAAGTTGCGCAGGAGGGGGCAAAATGTCATTTGGCCGTGGGTCAAAAAAATAGGTGCCCAAAATGGAACCTGGAAAATGGAAACATGGACCAAAACCTGCGGTCCCCTGGTGGTTTAATTTTGACCCATAGCCATTTCAGCAGTCAAAAGAAGGTGCCGGCCAGTCCACCATACCGGGAACGCCACCCTCCGGAAACCCTTAAAAAGGAGACCTGAGAATGGCATGCCTCCCAGATGAAAGCGTTTTGATTTGGGGGCAAACGCTGTTCCAGGCATGGCCAGAGACCACAGTGCTCGCTCCTCATAAAAAAAGGGCAAAGGGAGATCAAAACTGAAACATTATTTCTGTCAGGGTTGAAACTTTACACATTCTTTCATGGGTTTGACTCATCATGATCAAAAGGTAGCATGCAATGCTGTTGAATGGATCCAGGTGGTTGTGTGTTTGTCCAACCCCTTGTCCATCTTAGTTTGGGATTTGATTTGCGAGGTGCTCATCTGGTAGGCAGACCGCGATCGCGGTGTCTCTGTGGCTGTGATGTCCACGGACAAATTTCAAGACCCACCCCACAGCCCCCAGAGCCCCCCCGCCAACCCACAAACGCGAGCCAATAAGCCTTCTCTGGGCCATGGGCGGGGGTGTCTTTGGTGGGGTCCCTGAACATGACTGTTTCTCAAATGTCTTCCCAACCCTTGGAGCCAGAAAGGCAATCGACCTGGCGGGTCAGGCCTGCTCAAGTGACAAAAGTGATTGATTCCTTTTGGACAAAAACACATAAGATCGATTTAGCGCCCAGTGTCTTCCGTTTGGAACTTGAGCAAGCTCTTCAAAATTGGTTTCACGGAGAGGACAACAAGAGGACCCAATACCATTTCTGTACCCTTGTGGCTTGGTCGTTGTGTTGAGGCTAACAACTTGCAACCCTTTTCATTCTCGTCAATTTCCTCCCGCAGTTGCACAGATCCGGGTGGGGCTAAGTTCCTTCTTGAACATGTCCTTTACAGGTGGCCAGAGCATGTTTGGCGAAACACATTTTGCCCAACCCTTGCACAGATCCTCCACATCTCGCATCAGCACGATGTCTGCTGCTTGCGGGCCAACACCAAAGCCTCACAGTTTCACTCGACGGTGAGGATCTGCGGGGATTTCAACACCGGGCTGGGGCAGACCCTGCTTCCCAGATTGGTTTGAATCCCCCTGTACTTGTGCCGAATCCCTTCGGCAGTTTGTCATAGCTCGAAGACGAATCAACTACCACTTCTCGAAGGCAACCCTACATCTGATAAAACAAGTGCCAGTGGTCCGAGGGACAACTTGGCCATCTCTAAGGGCAACCCTGCGGTGCTCAGCCCTTTGAAGAGAAGATTTGCGGAGGGCTCCATTTGTTGCTCCCCCCTAGACTAAACCCAAGGGTCGATGCACATCTCGCCCGCTGGTCGAAGCCTTTGCTTGGGCTGTCGAATGGCAGCCCTGAAGTCATCGCACCCAAAGCCTGTCTCGGTGTGTCCTTTGAGGGTGTCTTTTGGATGGTCTTGAGGGGAAACCAACAGAAAGAACCGCCCATGTCGCGATCTCCCTCCCCCACCCCAAATGCGACAAACCTACGGTTCTTGTTCAAGGTCCAGGCAAAAAGGAAGCCCTCTTTGAGGGTGACATTTTTTTCTTTTTCGGAACGCACCAAGCAAAGAGGAACCTAGGCGCTCTCTCTCTCTCTCTTTCTCTCTCTCTCTCTCACTCTTTCTCTCTCTCTCTCTCTCTCTCTCTCTTTCTCGCTCTCTCTCTCTCTCTCTCTCTCTCTTTCTCCCCCCAAGAAACTTTGTCCTGTCTGTGCGCCAGGCACACGCCAGAGCTCAACGGGAAGTGCTCAAAGAACCACATCGCCTGGCCAAATGAGGGTGGTTCCAACAACACTCAAACAGCGACTGCGGGCACTCCATATAAACACGGTCACACACACACACACACACCGTCACACACACCACGCTTGAAGAGTGAGGTTCAGTCGCAGGCAAATCATACACGACACGAGCGCAGAAATGCGAAGATCGAAACAAGCCGCGTCCGCAACACAACATGGAAACAACAGCCTCAGCAGAACAAGACAAAAGGTCAAGATAGCAGGTACACGGCTGAAAGGGAAGCAGCGCCAGGCCGTCAATGCGGTTGCATGTCTTGGGTCTTTCCTGCTGCGTGCATGATCCTTGCATTTCCCTTTCCTTTCAAGCTTCTTTGAATGGCTTTTAGTCTCTGCACTGCGGCAGGAATACTCCGCATATGAAAGGGAAAGAAAGGGAAAGGAGAGACTCTAGAATGGATCCATCTTTGTACGTTACCTCCCCATCACCCAACATCTGTTTCTAAGATAAAGAGTTGGGGTGATAAAGTGAGAGATAGAATATGAGGAAGAAAGAGATGGAGGAGCACTAACAATCCGTTCGTATGTCTATTTCACGCTCCTCCACCTTCAGCTTTATCACCCATCCATCACATCATTCCGCTCTTGTCTGAATGCAACCGAGGCACGAGTCCAAGAGAGAGAGAGAGAGAGAGAAAATACAAATAAAAATAAAACAAAGCAGGTGGGTGATGGATGAGTCTCTCTCCTCGCAGTCAGTGGTTAAAGGATGATACGAGAAGACAGGCTTTGCAAGCCATTATTATTCTATCCCTTCCTGCCTTGCATACAAGCTCCATCCCCATGCCTCGCTCCCTTCACTCGCTTGTCTGTCGCGGGAGCTCTTGGATCACACTGCCAGGCGAAGATACCAAGAGAAAGGAAAGGCTGGGAAGGAATGCGAGTTGAAACTTTGAAAGGGTTGACCAGCAATAGAGTGGTTGAAGGGAGCGCCTGTACGCACGATCACCCATAAATAAGGTCTCTTCTATGGAATGCCTTTGAAGCCAGGGCGAGAGACGGACGCAACCAAGGCAGGAGAGCGGCAGTCCTTCCTTGTCCTTCAGGTAGCCACAATTTGATCTTTGCAGCCAATTAAAAGAGTTAGCAGGTAGGTGGTGACAGCTTGGAATCTTCAGGACAGTGAATAAGGCCATTCCATTCCCACACATCCCTACCTTCCCCTTTCATCTTTGCATCTGGGATGTTGGGAAGGTAGGAAAGAGTGAGGAAGGAAGAGAGACAAAGGGAGCGTGTATATGAGTGAGTTCCCTTTCTTCCTTCCTTGTCCAACCGCTTCCCCAATCATTCCTTTCGCGTGCAGACGGTCCATCCTTCACCTACAGACCACACTGTCCTTTCTCTTTCCTATCCCAGCCAATTCTCTGAGATGTAGCTGTGGCTGGGAAAAGGAATAGGGAAAAGGATTTACTCGCAAGAAAAGGATGATTTCCGGAGAGATAGGTCAGAAGGAGGAGTCGCCCATCATCTGACAACGGGTTCGCCTTCATCTTCCTTCCACCTCCCTCTATTAGTTAGGATCTACTGGAGCTGCGAAGGAGGCAGGCTGGAAGGGAACGAGGGACGAGGCAAGCCTTCAAATGTATTTCCTTTACCTTCGTTTCTTCTTCAAATATTACTGTTCACATGGAATTATGATGGAGAAGACAGGTCAAATAAACGATTTGGGAACGGCTCTCATTCATCGTTTGTCTGTTCCCCCCATCTCTCCATGCCTCCATTTCCCATCCACACTTATCTCCGATGAATTGGTGGTGGGACATGAGGTTCCCCTGTATCTCATTAGACAAGGTCAAGGAGTGAATTAGCGTGCGTCATCCGGCACGGCGCACACGCACACACAAACGCCTTCCGGGATGCCGAGCCAACCACTGGTCTGTCGCGACACCCACACCACTGCCAAAAACGAAGAAAGCAAACAACCTTAACGTGCCAGTGAGGAGCACAACAAATTTCATCACCGATTTGACCCCAATACATTTTATTTGATTGTCCCCCAACCGAGCGCCGACTGAACTCCCAAATGCCCCTATCTGCCAAACTCCCAATTGCATACGCACGCCACACACACACACGGACAGAGACACAAAGGCACACACCAGATGTTGCAAGCGGGTGCGCTCCCAAACAAAACCAACTCCGCGAGTCCACCATTCGGAACCTCAATAGCCAAGCTTTCATCTACTGCGTCTAAATCCACACCTGATCGAATCAAGGGCTCTAACCAACTTGGGCAAAGAATCATAAGCGCAGCTTTTGCCACCTTTTCTGGTGACGGAAGTCACCAACTCTAACCTTCTACCCCTTCGGTGTTCTCCTCCTTTAGCCCTGCTTCTTTAGACAGCCTGGTGTCCAACCTCACGGAAGGGAATCTGTCCGGGCTCTCCTTTTGGGGGTTGGGTGACTTTTGGAAGCCACGCGAAAAGCAGTCACCCCCGATGGAAATGACCCCAGTTTCTCGCTTTAACCCAAGAAATAGCCGACATACTGTGCACCGGCAAAATCCTGCACCAGTTGTTGGGAGGGATGAAAACCCTACTAATACTGATTGATAAACCACCAATCTCAAACGGTGCGAAGTGGATCTTGTGAATTCACAATATCACAGCCAGTCCTTCCAATTATAGCGGAAGGTTTTTACACGATTTTGCCGCCCCTGGTTTCCTGCCATGGAAATTGGAAGCACCAGGACACGTCAGCATTTGCGTTTCGGCATCCCGGAAATGTCGAGAAATTTGCGCGCCATCGAGGTGGTCTCCGCTGTGAGGGACTGCACGTGGTGCCACCAGTACGGCCTGGGCTCGTGTAGCGACCAAACTGCTGGAGTAGTGAGAAGGCACCCAAAATGTGTGATACTCAAGTAGGATTCCTGTTTGTGTGACGACTTCGTCACAAGGGTTCGTTTGTCAACCCAAGTCTCTTCCACAACCATGATCTTGTATGTTACTTGTCAACGAACCAACGTCCCACTTCTGGCCATGGCTGTGATCTACTTGCGAAGGATCCAAGGCATGCAGATCCAAGGGTTGACCCTGGCAAATCAGCAGTCCCAGTCCAAAGGACTCCAATCACGAAGTGCTGCTTTCGCCCGGATCACCTCACGTTGCAGGTTGCACCCGCTTAATCAGTGGGGGAGGGTCAATCAGAGGTCAACGGTGTAATATTAGAGGATCAAACAAAGACGCGGCCAAAGGGAGAATGGCCTTCGGATTTGAAGGCCGTGAAACTCAAGAAGACGCCAAGCGGCTCCCCAACAGGTATGCAATTCCATTGGGGACCCTTTGGTGGACATTTAGGCGGGGATTTGATGTTCTGATGTCTGCGGGGGAGAAATTTGGGGGCCCAACTGCCAGGGGGTTCAATCAGGCTAACCCCGAATCCCCAAATCATCCACAAAGAGGGTGCATAAGAGACTCTTGCTGCGTTTCGGCGATCGCCTGAATCTTCGGAGTATAAAAGAGGGGGCCCACATTTCTTTGACTTCCTCCTCATACAACAGCAGGCAAACTTGACAATCCGCTTCTTGCAAGCACAAGAAGCCATAAGAGAGCAACCGAATTCTAACTACAGCCAGCCATGTCGTTTTGCGCGATTCACATATTGGCTATGCACCATAGATACACAGGCTACCACATCATATATGTCTATGCCATTGTTCATGTATATATTCAAAAATGCATAGATACAGCAATGCAAATGCACACCACAATACAAACAAACATGTCTATGTATGTATGTATGTATGTATGTATGCATGCATGCATGTATGTATGTATGTATGTAGGTACGTATGTATGTATGTATGTATGTAGGTACGTATGTACGTATGTACGTATGTACGTATGTACGTATGTAGGTACGTACGTATGTATGTATGTACGTATGTATGTATGTATGTATGAATGTATGTATGTATGTATGTATGTATGTATTTATGTATGTAGGTAGGTACGTATGTACGTATGTACGTATGTACGTATGTACGTATGTACGTATGTACGTATGTACGTACGTACGTACGTACGTATGTATGTATGTAGGTACGCACGTACGTACGTATGTATGTAGGTAGGTACGTACGTACGTGTGTATGTATGTATGTATGTATGTATGTATGTAGGTACGTACGTACGTATGTATGTATGTACGTACGTATGTATGTATGTATGTATGTATGTATGTATGTATGTATGTATGTATGTATTTATGTATGTATGTATGTATGTAGGTAGGCACGTATGTACGTATGTACGTATGTACGTATGTACGTATGTGCGTATGTACGTATGTACGTATGTACGTATGTACGTATGTACGTATGTACGTACGTACGTACGTACGTATGTATGTATGTATGTATGTACGTACGTACGTACGTACGTACGTACGTATGTATGTAGGTACGTACGTACGTACGTATGTATGTAGGTACGTACGTACGTACGTACGTATGTATGTATGTATGTATAGGGCTCTACTTGTTGCCAAACTCCAACCCTCCTGCGACAAAGCGGCGGGATGTACAGGGCCTCCCCGGGCGCCAACTCCACCTCAGCCGGTTTTTGGAGTCAGAGTGTCTTCATTTGACCTGTCATGGCACATGATTCACTTTTGCAAGGGGGTCTTGTCAGGCCAAGTTTTTCAAACCAACCAGGGGGATGGGAAAAACCGGGTCCCTTCATTTGGGCTTTTGCTTTGTGGCCTCCCCAAACCCGTTGAGGGGTCGAAGGCCGGGCCAAACGGCTTGTCAAACGGTTAGCAACGAGAAACCACAAGGGAACCAACCAAAAAACTTTGAGCATTTCTCGAAACGGCTGTTCAGTGTTATTTTGTCTCTTTTTCCAGAAATTTGATGAGATCATTGCCCATGGTGAAAGTCTGACGCGCGGTTTCGTAACTTTTTTGGGTCAAATCAGCGCCGTTGCCCAACCATTGGGAAATATGGCTGCCCTGTCCGTGATACCCATTTCTGGTTGATTACCATCCAGCCACGTGACGACTGCCGGCTACTGGCAGAAAGTGTGTGTTCTTTGCGAAGCGCAAATCCGTCCATGCCAACATGCACAGAAAGTGGCAACCTCGAACAAGTGGCAGCACAAATACCCATTGGGTTTGCTCCAAAGACCCTCGTTGTAAGGGGGGACTTCGACAGAAAGGGTTCGGCACCAACCCTACTGTGGACGAACTTCACTTCGTGCCGCTCAGAAACCCCATGATGTTCTTCTCTCCAACATAAATTCCAAACCTTGTGGCTTCAAGCCATGGTTTCATTTCGCTTTTTGCGAGACTCGGCTTCGTCCCCTGCCGACTCACCCCGCCTATCCCGGTCCAAAGGTCCCAAGGGCCGGGCCATGCAGCCACGAGCCTGGCGCCACTTGGGGAAGCGCTCGTCGGGCGCATCGAGGTCCACCATGCTCCTGGGAATTTTCTCTCCCGAAGGTCTGAAACCCCGTTCGGCTGGCTTTACCAACCTACACACTCCCCTTTTCAGCATCACCCCGTTTCGAGGAAACTTGGGTGTTTCGAGGAAACTGGAAATATAGAAACGTAAGGCGGAATACTTTTTCAGGGAAACACCCAAGTCGAGACGTTCATTTAGAGGAAACTGCCTCAGGGCGAAAGGTGGGGAAGCGCGGCATCCTGTCCTGCGATCCAAGTCATGGTGCACTGGGAAGGGGTACAGCTGTGGCCAAGCCTCAGCACGTTCCGAAAGCTCCAGCTCAATGGTTCTGACAGCAAAAAGACGAGAATTCCAAAGGAGCAAAGGGCAGATGTAGCAAGGTTTGGGCCCTCCCGGGATCCAAATCAGGGGCGAATGGAAAGGGAAGCAACAGAAGCAACGAAGGAACTCCCTCGCAGCCACCCGGACCTGGAAAACGAGGGTCAAAGATTCGGTCGCGGTCCGAGACTCTTCCAGGGCTGCCACCAAGACCAAGGATCGTCACAAGGTGTAGGAAACTGGTTGGTAGAGGAAACAGAAGGTGTCATTGCTAGATTCGGAGCAACCCTGAAAGATGAAGCCAAGCTCTGGCGAATGAATCCATGGCCTCAGACAGCAGTGAAGCTTCGTTGGCTTTGGGGTGCGGAAGGCGGTAAACCTGGGCTGCTTCGGATCGGTTCTGCTCCGAAGTTTTGCTGGCATGCCAACACAACGAGCTCCGAGTAGGTCTTGGGCAAGTTCTGGGTACATTTCGGGCAGGGGGGGAAATGTTGGTGGATGTTAGGGATACTCCTTGGCCTGACTTCTAGGCTGCCCTTGTTATTTTTGTCAGTTTTGGCTCTGAAGCGTGCCAGCTTCTGAGCTAAGTGTTCTTGCTTGAGGGCATCCCCCTCCGCTTTGAAGGACATCCAAATCCCCGCCGCCTGCAGTTCTGGAAAATTAGCTGTAAGACGGGATTCCAAGTGAAAGAGATGTCATTCACCATTCCTTTGTCTCCCAAAAGCTCTATCCGGTGAGGATTCTAAAAGAATGGCGATGAGGTCAAAGAATTACCCGCGAGACGGCCAAATCCTTCCTTTTTTCACTCTCCCATCCACATCCTTCCCAAATCCGTCCCTTTTGGGAGGGAAGGTCAAGGATTCTACCTGAGATAACCGTCTATCACCAAGAATGACGGACCATCGGCTGCCAAGAAGTCAACGTCGCCAGCCCGATGGCCTTCTCAGGTCTCCGCATCAGGAGGGAAGAGGATGAACCGCTTCCTCCCGGTCAGCTGCACGTGCCTGGGCCGTGAGAAAGTTTTTTGCTGCGCTGAGGCCAACAAGCACAGAAGACTGGACAACTTGTCAGGGCTTTGCTCAAATGGATGAAAACACCTACTAACAAAAAGTCCCAAAGCTTGCCAATTCAACTACTGGCAGTAAAAACTGTTGGACATGTGCCATCTTGCGCGCAGATCAACTACTGCTGAATAGGACCCTGACAGAATTGAGGGCTGTGGCAAATGCCCAACTACAACTCAGCTTCATTTGCCAGGTCTGTTTAGCACATGATGCGCCACAACAAGGGGATACCATATAAAAGCTGTTTCAGGGGCTCCAACTATCTTCGGAAAATTGAAATTCATTTGCTGTCCAGAAAACCTGTGTCTCCACACCGCCTCGCGCAATGTCACAGGTGATTTGGTATTACTATGGAGTGCTGCGAATGACGATCACTCCCTCCCAAAGTCAGGGGTTGCAGAGTTGCAGCAACCCGCAACACCCGACGTGGGGACATCCCCTAGAATCAGACATCCAAAAGTTTACTTGCTGTTTTCCTTTGGAACCATCCAAAGCGCGGACCCCACTTTTTGGACACATCCTTATCACCAATGCAGGAAACGGGAAATGTGTTGTCACTTGACTGAACATGCTGCATCCCTGTTTATAGGGCCCGATAGAAGGCAAGCAAACCTTGATTTAGAGGAGAAGAGGCCATCGAGGAAAGCTATCATTGGGAGACCTTAAGAACCGATTCTCCCTGTTCCACGTCTCATCAACCTGCTTCAAGTTCTTGTCAGCATCGACATGGCTCTGGGCCACTCCAGCTCTCTCTCTCTCTGATTTTGGGCAAGTCTTGTCCCAACTCCACGTCTTCTGCTTCAGGAGTTTTTCTGCTTGGATTCAGTATATAGCAGGTTTTGCACAAGAACTTCAGCGCAAAGCAGGCCTCCTTCTATCCTTACATCAAATTGAAGCCTTCTGCCGGTCGGAATCCTTCCATCACACTGAAGCGGCTGTGCATCAAAACAAAACCGATCCCCGCAGAGCTCTCTTTTTCCTACGGTTGTCAAGGCAATGGGGTCTAATGGCGACTAATAGGGTCTATCAAAGGTTAATAGGGTTCCCTTTGGGCTTCATTGATTTTCAGACAATTGTACAAAACGCAGAGGAGCGGCTGATTTCTTAAAGCATCGGGGATGAATCTTTAGATTGACGCTAATTGTAGTGCTAACCCCATATTAATCAACCCTGTTTAATAATATGGGGTTCCCCTCCAAAACTGATGAATCCCCACTAAAAGCGGGGACACCCCTACCAATAGACTGGGGTTGATTTATATGTGGTCAACATTACATTTTAGCGAGATCCGTGGAGAATTTGAGCAACTCTAAATTTTAAATGCGCCGAGAACAATTCACAGACCCTTTCCGGAGGCACAAGGAATCCTGAGTCCCGAGTATTTGTCGAAGCAGGTGCCTATTTCCAAACGAAGTCCCTACTAAAAGTCCTATGGGTGTCAGGAGCCACCCCAAAGAGGGGGCCCCGAAGCGAAAAGGAGAGTACAGTCAGAGTTGACAGCCATCTCTGTCAACCACGCCCCCCGTCATCATCTGGTGATGGGTCGACGGTTCCTGATCGCGATTTTTAGCACGTGCCCCAACTAGTCTTTCGGAGTCCGGGAAACAGAAGCACCCCCAACCAGGAGAAGGTGACAACAAGGGACCCAATCAAGTTCCCCGTATGCCCAGCTCGCAGTTTCACCGTGGTTTCCGCTAAAACTATCATCACAAAGTTCAAGGTGGTTCTGACGTAAGCCTCCGCTGAGAAACCAGACAGGTTGGGCTGCAGATCGTAGTGGCAGTGATACAGCCTCCGGCAGCCGCGAGCCGCAGATCGGGGCCGGAGCTCTTGACTTGGTGGAAGGCTACCTTTTGAGAGAGGTGCATCCCAAGGGAATCTTGCGGAGCCTCATTTCCGGAGTGGATTCGCCAAAACAACAAAAGGTTGAAGATCACGGATGCCTGTTTTCATAACCTGTTGGAACAGTGGTCAAGCATCTGACCGCCTAAGGGTATCCCATGGTATCACCAAGAGCAGGAGCAACACAAAATGACAGAGAGGCAGTGATAACACCTGCACATGAAAAACCATGGAGCAGCCTTCCGCACAAACCATCAGACAAAAATCAGAAAACCAAGGCAAGTACCAGGCGCTCCACAACTGGCAGCACCGCCTTGGCACATTGACCTCGAAAAATCCAGGTTGGAACTTGACGAGTGCCCCACAACGAATCAAAGAGCACCTGAGAAAGGGGACATCCTTGTAAAGGGGATTTGGTGCCTGTTGACTAGTTGGGCTACAATCCCCATGTTTGGGTTAAAAGCCTGTCTTGGTCGGGGAATGTTTGCAACCAGGATGTTCCCTTCTAGAAATCGCGGTGTCAATTTGCCCCAACACCCCGACGTGGCAAAGTCCCCTCTGCCGGGTGGTTGATTGCCCCTTGAAACCAACGCTCGCCACGAATGGCCCAAGCGAATGGAGAACCTCGACGGCCGAGGCCGCCCCGGTCCAATCTAAGGATCCAACGTGCCTCCAAGCCCGGCAAAGAGGTAGAAGCGCTGCACCAAAGGGAGCAGGTTCTCCTCCTGGCCCGAGAAATGTGACGAATCGAAAACTTGTTGCTCTTGGTTCTTGGTGGCATGTAGTTGTATGTTGTCCGGAGTTGTCCGTCTGTCTGCCTGCCTGCCTGCCTGCCTGCCTGCCTGCCTGCCTGCCTGCCTGCCTGCCTGCGTGCCTGCCTGCCTGCCTGCCTGCCTGCCTGTCTGTCTGTTCGTTTGTTTGTTTGTTTGTTTGTTTGTTTGCTTGTTTGTTGGTGTGTTTGTGTTGTGTGTGTCTGTGTGTTTGCGCGCTTGCGTGTTGATGTGCTTGTGTGCCTGTGTGCTTGTGTGTTCGTGTGTTTGTGTGATTGTGTGATTGTGTGGTTGTGTGTTTGTGTGTGTGCGTTTATGTGCGTGTGTATGTGTTTGTGTTCGTGTGTGTGCGGACCGCCTTTGTCAGTACCATGCAGTGTTGTTGCATTCTCTAACGACTTGCCACTGCATTGGAACGCATTGGGAAGCTGCGCTGGCGAAACTGCTCTGGGCCTTCTTTTGGTCCCCTATACTTCGCCATTCGCCACTCGACCTCGTCGACTTGACTGATGTTCACTCGACAGCGAGATCACCTCGCCATTTGGAGGCATTTAAGTGAACTGTGTTTGCGTGCTTGCGTGCTTGTGTGTTTGCGTGGCTTGTGTCCGTTTGTGTGGTTGTGCGCTTGTGAGTCTTTGTGAGTGTGTGTGTGTGTGTGTGTTTGTGTGCTTGCGTGCTTGTGCTTGTGTGTGTGTGTTGTCCGTTTATGTGTTTGTGTCTGTGTGTGTGTGTGTTTGTGTGCATGTGTGTTGCTGTGTTTGTGCGTTTCTGTGTTTCTGTGCTTGTGTGTTTCTGTGTTGATGTGTTTTGTGGACTGTTTGTTGGTTTGCTTGTTTGTGTTTTTTTTTGTTATTTTGTTTGTTTGCTTGCTTGCTTGTTCGCTTGCTTGCGTACTGATGTACTTGTGTGCTTCTGTGCTTGTGTGCTGGCGTGCTTGTGTAGTTGTGTTTGTGTCTGTGTCTCTGTGGCTGTGTGCTTGCGTGTCTCTGTGGCTGTGTGCTTGTGTGTCTCTGTGTGTTTGTTGGTCTCTGTGTGTCTGTTTGTTTGAGTGTTTGTGTGTTTGGATGCTTGTGGCTTTGTGTGTTTGTGTCTTTCTGTCTTTGAGTCCGTGTGTCCTTTTGTGTTCGTGTCTTTGAGTGCTTGTGTGATTTTGTGCTTGTGCGTTTGTGAATTTGTGTGCTTGTTTGCGTGTTTGTGGGTCTCTGTCTGTCCGTGTGCTTGTGTGTTTATTTGTTTGTTTGTTTGTTTGTTTGTTTGTTTTGTTTTGTTTTGTTTTGTTTTGTTTTGTTTTGTTGTGTTTTGTTTGTTTGATTGCTTGCTTGCTTGCTTGCTTGCTTGCTTGCTTGCTTGCTTGCTTGCTTGCTTGCTAGCTTGCTTGCTTGCTTGCTTGCTTGCTTGCTTTTGCGTTTGTGTTTGTGTTTGTGTTTGTGGTTTGTGTTTGTGTTTGTGTTTGTGTTTGTGTTTGTGTTTGTGTTTGTGTTTGTGTTTGTGTTTGTGTTTGTGTTTGTGTTTGTGTTTGTGTTTGTGTTTGTGTTTGTGTTTGTGTTTGTGTTTGTGTTTGTGTTTGTGTTTGTGTTTGTGTTTGTGTGTGTTTGTGTTTGTGTTTGTGTTTGTGTTTGTGTTTGTGTTTGTGTTTGTGCTTGTGCTTGTGCTTGTGATTGTGTTTGTGTTTGTGTTTGTGTTTGTGTTTGTGTTTGTGTTTGTGTTTGTGTTTGTGTTTGTGTTTGTTTGTTTGTTTGTTTGTTTGTGTGTGTGTGCGTTTGCGTGTATGTGTGACTCGTGTGTGACTGTTTGTGTTGTCTTGTTGCTTGTGTGTTTGCTTGCTTGTGTGTTTACGTGTCTGCGTGTTTGTTTGTTTGTTTGATTGCTTGTTTGTTTGTTTGTTTGTGTGATCGTTTGTCTGGTTGATTGTTTGCTTGTTCGTTGGCGTGGTTGATTGATCGTTTGTTTGGCTGATTTTTTGCTTGTTGGTTCGCTTGTTTGGTTGTTGGTGCGTGGTTGCAAGTTTGTTTGTTTGTTTGCTTTCTTGTTTGTTTGTTGTTCCTTGTTAGCTTGTTGGTTTGCTGGATGTGTTTGCTGTTGGTTGGCGTGTGTTTGTTTGTTGGTTTGTGGTTGCTTGTTTCTTTGCTTGCTTGCTTGCTTGTTTGTTTGTGGCTATTTATTTATTTATTTCGTTCTTTCTTTCTTTCGTTTTTTCTTGCCTTCTGTCTTTCCTTTATTTACTTCTGTCTTTCTTTCTTTCTTTCTTTCTTTCTTTCCTTCTTTCCTTCTTTATTTCTTTATTTCTTTCTTTCTTTCTTTCTTTCTTTCTTTCTTTCTTTCTTTCTTTCTTTCTTTCTCTTTTTCTTTTTTCCTTTCTTTTGTTTCCGTCTTTCTTTCTTTACTTCTTTCGGTCTTTCTTTCCTGTGTTTGTGTTTGTGTTTGTGTTTGTGCTTGTGTTTGGTTTGGCGTTGGTTGTTGTTTGTGTTCTGTGTTCTTGGTGTGTGTGTGTGTGTGATTGCTTATGATTGTTTGTGTTTCTGTGTGGTTCTTTTTTTTGTGTTTGTTTGTGTGTGTGTGTGTCTGTTGTTGTTTGTGTTTAACTTGTGTGTGTGTGTGTGTCTGCGTGTGTGCTCGTTTTGCGTCTTTGCGGATGTTTGCGATTGTGTTTGTTCGTTGATGTTTGGTTCTGATTGTTTTGTCTGTGATCGTTTGTGGTTGATTGATTGTTTTGTTGTTGTTTGTTTGGTTGCTTGCTTATCTGTGTTCGTGGGTGTCGTTTGTTTGCTTGCTTGCTTGCTTGCTTGCTTGCTTGCTTGCTTGCTTGCTTGCTTGCTTGCTTGCTTGCTTGTGTGTTTGCTTGATTGTTTGGTTGTTTGTTGAATGTGTGTTCTATATTTGTATTGTTGGTTGCTTGCTTGTTGTTGCTGTTCTTTTTTATTGTGGTTGGTTCCCTGTTTGTTTTGTGGGTGTCGTGTGTTTGTTTGTTTGCTTGCTTGTTTGTTTGTTTGCTTGTTTGTTTGTTTGTTTGCTTTTTTGTTTGTTTGTTTGCTTGCTTGCTTGCTTGCTTGCTTGTTTGCTTGCTTGCTTGCTTGCTTGCTTGCTTGCTTGTTTGTTTGTTTGTTTGTTTGTTTGTTTGTTTGTTTGTTTGTTTGTTTCTTATTTTGTTTTTTGATTGAATGTTTGTACTATGTTTGTTTGTTTGTTTGTTTGCTTGCTTGATTGTTTGATTGTTTGATTGTTTGCTAGCTTGCTTGCTTCTTTGATTGATTGCTTGGTTGTTTATTTGGTGTGCTTTGTTTGTTTGTTAATGTTGCTTATGTTTCTTGGTTGTGATTGGGGCAGAATCAAAAAGTCTGCCAACCTCTTGGGCACACAAAAAAGTGCATAGCGGCGCTTGAAACCTAATCCTTCGAGTTGGGTTGCCCAGTTGCAACCAGTAGACCCGTTCGGTAGAAAAGGGGAACCGGTTGTGAGGTCGAATCCATGTCACCATACAAAGGAGAAAGTTTCTGTTGGACAGAATCCACCGAGCAACTGGGGGTTTTCGGCTTCCGATGGTTGGCAAGAATCTCTCCGGTTTGCGACATCTGGTCTTGCTCCCCGTTGGCGCTCAGACAGAGATTGGTGCTAGTAGCCTTCTCACGTCATTTCCATATCATGTTGACATCTGCTTTCGACCATTGGTCATGTCTTCCTGATGAGCCCTTGCAATGTGGGTCCGAAGCCTGCATACAGGGGGTCTTCCCACTCGTGGTGTGTCAGCAAAAAATACGTTATTTGCAGCACCCTCCAAAAATGAACAGAACCCAAAAAGATCAAATAATTGAACCATCACATATTATATGTACACACACCAAGAACAGCAAAGTGCTTGCAAAACGGGGTCTACAATGAGTCTACAATAATGACCATGGCGCTTCGGGGCATTTTGTTGGAGCTGGTACCGGGTTTCCCCGACAACCCCACGTAGGTCAAGAGGACAGCAATCACCTGAAAACCACTAGCTTGCGCCTTGGGAAGTTGCGCCCATTTGGGGTTGTTTGAAGTGGGCTCCCGTATCCCGGTTGTCCAAATCCGAATTTTCCGTCGCCGGACACCAGAAAAATCCGGAAAAAGGATCGAGTCCAGAGGTCCACTTTATGCGACTCAGATCTGGTCAGAAGTCACTGAGCCCCGCAGCCCCGCAGCGCCTGCCATGCTCGGATGAGATCGAACCTGATGCTCCAGAGGTCATTGGCCATCTCCTCATCGATCCTGAAATGGACGTGCAAGGGACAGGCAACAGGAAGGGAACCTGTTTGCTTTTTTGTAGGTGTCCCTATTCAACAACTCCCAAAAGCAGTGTGCCTCGATGAAAGCCAAAGAATAACAGGGTTGCTGCAGAAAAGCTGGTCACTGGAAAGCAAGAGGACCCAATGCCAAGTTGCTACCCTCATAGTTTGGTCATCAATTTGAGGTTCGGAGCAAAATTCCGGCAACGATTGGCTTCCTGGTCCACACATTGACTCCTAAAATGGGATTCTTTCGTTGACCCAGCTTTGGTAAACCCCTGGTTGAATAGAGGGGAGCAACCCATTCATCCCCCTCCTAAGCCGCCGGCTGATTCCATCGGTTGCCATGCTTTCCCCTCAAATGCTGACCTGCTGAGTGGACTGGCCAAAGCTGATGTTTTGAATCTAAAGCTTGCCTACTGGTGATGGCACAAGTTGACAAGTGTTCAGCAACACACCCAGCAAACAAGTGCAGCTCGGTACACCTTGTGGCGTGCGCAGGGTCTGCCGAGCATGTCAGCAAAAGCGGACTGCTGTTTGCCACTCCTAGGCCAAAGACAAATGAGCAGAACCGCAAACAAACAAGAAAACAATTGAAAAAACAACATTCCAGGAGCACAACGCTGCAAATAAACATGCCAAGAGCAGTAAAAAACACTTATCATGTTTGACCCGCAGACTCATCCAAACATCTCCCCCCGCTCCCCCGACCCTGACTCCAAGCCCCTCAACCCCTCCAAGTGAGGCCAGGCCGCTGGCCAAGGAAGCCGTTCTCCTCTTCTTTGAACCTAGCGTGAAATGGGCCACGGTTCTAGGGTTGATTCCCTTTGGGAGAGCTTTGGGACCTTAGAGGGGTGGCTTGGCATCTCCGGATGGCTGGGTAAACATCTAAGGGTTGACTCCTTGTCCATTCTTTTCCACCATCGTTCTTTTCAAAAACCGGATCCGTTTTCCCTGGGATTCCGAAGGCTTTCTAGAAGAAAGGATCCCTGGAAAGAATGGGGAAGGTACCCCTAGAATGGTCCCTGATGTGGGCCATAGTCATGAAGATCCCTCAAAGCAATCCTCACCATGGTCTGAGATCCCAACTTTTATAAGGATTTCATGACCATCCCTAGCACATGCAAAATAAAGGGGTCTGCTGGCCGAGACAAGAATGGGTGAGGTTTTCTGTTGAGGAGGGTGCCTGTTTGCCTGCTTGAAAGGAAAACCAACCGGCAACCACCCATTTCCGGGGGTGCCCTCGTTTGCAGACGCCCACATGCGCCATGGTCATCGTTCTCTTAGGAACCCTATAATTGCTTTTTCATGTTCGGAAACCGCCTCATGTTTCTAGAAAATTCGATTCAAGGGATGAACGCCTCTTCCCCTTCAAAAAATTGAGTGCTTCCGTTGGGATTCTGTTGGTTTCTGACAAACATCATCCCTCGAGGGAGACAGAGTGGGACATACCCCTGGCATTTTGGATCCTCACTTGGAGACAATATCCTCGCACATGAGCGTTTCACTTGAGCAAGATGGGCGGCCTTGCGAGCAGGCAAATTTTCGGAATATTGAGTTGCGTCGTCTCGCCCCCAAAGTCAGCAAATCAAGTCAACACCCAAAGCGGACAAAGTGAGCAAAGCAAAGCGCGCCAAAAACAACCGGCCTCCAAAGCAAATGGATGCCGAAGTAGGGAAGCTTCCGCTTGCCGCCTCGTTCAACCCATGGGACCAGGGGCACTCGCTATTCCGGCAGGGAAATCCACCCAGCAGGCTAGGTACTGTCGACCCAGCTGACCTGTAAACCAAGTTCTGGTGGGGTGACGCAGTGCAGCCATTTTAGAGCAGATCCGGATCACTCTGGGATCAGGATTAGGCCAAGGACGCACAACTTCTAGGGAAGCCAGAGCCCGTTGGCCCAACTGCCGCGTTTTTTGTGGAGTGGAACCTGGAAAGCGGGATTTGGTGCTAACGGGCAATGCCAATTTTTCAAACAGGTTATCACCGCCTCGCCAGACTGCGAGGGAATGACGACCGCTCCACGCCTGACTCCTTGAACCTCCGCGCTTCCTCCAAGAAGTCGCTGAAGGTCATCCTCGCGTGCTCGTGCTGCTTCCCAAAAAAAGCATTTGGGGGTTGATCAATATTCGTGGCCCCAACATGACCATGGGTAACTTCCCCCATTTTTTGTGGTGAAAGTCATTATTTTGGGCGGTTTCCCTCATGGTCACCCCATGTAGAGGACCTTTTGATCAACCCTCATTTGGAAAATTCGGTGGGCTGCCTGCGGGGCGTGCCACATCCTCCCCCAAACAACAAACATGCAACGAAAAAGGGCTGCGACAGATTTCCACCTGTCACAGGGCTGCTTCTGCCAAAGCACAAAGGCACAACTCGGCCAACCTCGGTTTTTCGAAATGGCGCTTAAACCCACGAAGGAGGCATTTCTCGGCAACAAGGTTTGGTTCTCCGGACTGGCTTGCCTTCCACCAAGCTGCAACGGCGCTAGGAAAGGACGCGTATGTAGCAGGGGACTTTTCTTTGGACCAGAAAGGAGAAGAACTGAAAACAAGAAACTGCGCGGCCCGCGGGACAAGCGGTCATTTTCCAACAGGCCCAAGAGGCTTTAAGCAAAACGAGGTCCACCCTCCTGAGTACCTTTCGAGCCATCCGCTCCTCGTCTGGTCGGAGGTGCCAAAGAGGCCTTCCGGGGCCCGGGGGTTGACCGGGGGTGGGAAAACCAGGGCAGCAGTTTGCCCTCTTTCCAACAATCATGCGAAGTGGGGGTTGATCAATATTGGCCCCAAAATGACCATGGGTAACTTTTCCCATTTGATGGTGAGAGTCATCTTTTTGGGTGGTGTCCCTAGTGGTCATCCCACGGAAAAGACCGTTCGATCAACCCCCAAGTGGACAGGATGGTTTTGCAAGACTACCCTCTTGACCAGGCAGGAATTGGTGAGTCTCCCTTCTTGTGTTTGAAAGCTTAATTTTCCCAAAAGCAACCGCAGGGTTCTGAGATTTGGGGGGGGCAACAAATAGGAGACCCCCAAGAAATAAGGCGACGTCTCCCTGCCAACAGCCGAAAGGGGGGCCCCTTCACTCCAAAAACCAAAAGCGGAACTAAGACCCAAACAAGGTGAAACCTTAGCCTTGGGCCCTGCCTTCGTCCGACTGCTTCTGGGTCTCGATCTGGGAGAGGTCCACTTGGCGCTGGCCTCAAAAAAGCTCCAGAGGGTTTTTTACTGATCAAAGTCCACTTCGTGCCAGATGGCTTATCAACCAGTAGGAATCCCAATCCGTGCCAAGTGGATTTTGTCCATCCACAGTACCGAAGGGCAATTCACCGAACAAGCTCAAAGCGGGGGTGGGGAATCCTAAGGGAAGGCAAGGCCAGAGGGCCCACGTACGTTCTGTTCACGTACATGGGCCGCTCCCCCCCCCAAAAAAAAACTCAAACAGCCCCAAGAAGCCCTCGCACACCACCTGCCACACCACAAAAATATTGGGGGGGAGCCGTACGACGCAGCAGATGTTTCCCCTGAACCGGCATGGACCACGGCAAGTGGCCAACGAAGTCCAATCTTCTTGGGGCTTGACCAAATGAGAAAACTTACCAGCGCAAAGCTTCAAGTCTTTGGCAACTGCGTCTGTGGTCGTGTATTTTTGGGAGATCGGTTCAAGCCATCCCAGGACACTCTCGAAAAGGAACAGACATACACCCCACCCATTCCGTTCGCCGAGCTGTCGGCCGTTGCGAGCGGAGTGGCTCATCACCTGGATCGTTGAGGTTTCGGGTAACCCAAGGTGGCTGCGGCGGTTTTGTTTTCTTCCCCACCAGACCCATGACAATCCCTAAGCCAGCCTTTGACCATGGCACATGGCAGGATTGTTTTGCAGCTCCCCCAAAAAAAGGGTTGGAGCACGTAAAAGGGACCTGAGTAGTTGGGCCTTTGAGCGCTTTGACTAGTTTGGGTCACCCTTTTTTGGAGATACAAAAGCCCAACCCAATCCCCCTACTCAAACGGCCAAATAGTTGGGCTGTGTGTGCCGGCGCGTAGTGCGTCGTCAGAAAGGGCTGAAGCGAAAAGAAACCAAACACGGGCATTCCGCATTCCTGCAAGCGTTGTCACGCACTCGCTCGGCCAAACTATTGCTATTGCCATACAAAAAGCGTGCCATGCACAATACCATACACCAACCAAAAGAATGCCATACGTATGGCAAGCTGTTTTGTTTATGGCATTCTCATTTTGCATGACTATATATATATATATAACATTCTGGCATAGTTTTCAGGTTTGGTTTGACCTTCACCTAAATTCACAAACTACTGCCTTGACCCAGCTCCCGGGCACAACCAGCCCTGAAACACCCAACTTCCAAACAGATCATCCTTGGGGTCAACGAGATGACATGATTTTCGGGAAAAAACGAGAAATGGTGCGGTACTCTGGAATCCTTTTTTTAGACCCATACCCGCACCCACTCTAAACCCACCCTAAACCAGCCGTCAACCAACCCCAAACCCGCCCACCCTGGAAACACCCTCAACTTGCTTTTTGTTGTTTGCTTCCGAGGCCGCCGCAATCTTTCCGGAGCCCTCATCCAGCATCACGCCGTACCTGGCCCAGAGAACGGCGAAGCGGGAGCCGCGGAAGCATCCATTCTCGAAATCCGTCACGGTCACGGAATGGCTCAATCCGTAACGGACACGGACACAGACACGGATACAGACACAGACACAGACTAGACACACACACGCACACAAAAACAAAAGAAGAAGGAACTTCTGGCCCTGGGAAATGAAAAACCAATCCAGTCAAGGCGGCCCCTTCTTTCAGGGGTACCAAGATTCATCTGAGCCCCGGACAATATTGCTAGTTTCCACCAGCAATGCCTTAAATGGCCGAAAAATGACAAACATGTATCTTTGTAAGGAGCCCTGTCCAGGAACTCAGGTTTTGGGCAAGACGTCCAGTGCGAAGGGGCTCCGTTAGATCAACGATCCAGGTGCCGGGGTGTGGCGTTTTCTTCCAAGCAGAAAGAGGTCTGGGGACTAGGCACGAAGGTCAAAGGGTAGTGGTGCTGCCGGTTCCCTTCTTTTGGCCCTGGCCTCTGGCTCGCCGGCAGGTGCTCCTTCAAGTACTGGAAGTCCCAGTTCAGGAGCCTCTCTCAATCCCGGGAGCCAGGTGCCAGTTCTCATCACTTGCCAGTCAGCTCATGAAAGCCGTGTGCCTACTTCCTGAGTGGATTGGCCAGCAAAAGTCGAAATACACATTTCGTTTACCACTGAATGCTCCAACCCCATTTTTTTCCAAGCCCAGAACCTCGGACAAAGTGAGAACTACGGAGACCTCCACGCCCTTTTGGAGCCTTCCTTGGGGCGGACGTTTACTGCACGCCGCGAACGGAGCGCGCACGGAGCGACTCAGCCCGCCTGCGGCCCAGCAAGCCCTCCGCCGGCGCCACGAAGGCCCGGCCCTCGCGCAGGAACTCCTCGCGACGGCGGGCGAGCGAGCCATATCCACCCCACCCACCCTCCCCCCACCCTCCCCCGCCGACGCGGCGATTTTTTTTTTTCGGGTCGCGGTCTTGCCCGTTGGTGTCCCTGGACCCACAAAGGAGTACCCTCCAGTCCAATGGAACCTACCAGAGGGCCGCTTGAGAAGGAAAATAGTCTTCCAAGGACCCCTCAGCCAAGTTCCATGTTAGTGGATGGGAGGGTACCATCCAGCGTTCTTTCTCTCTTGTGTTTTGGTGTTCCCCGAAACCCAAACAAAGGGTACCAGCAACAGGCCTTTGTTGGGTTTCCCTTTTGGAACCAGAAAGGGGCGTTCCTTCTTGTTCCCCGAAACTCAAAACGGAGCACCGTCCAGCCTTTTTTTCTCTCTTTTGTTTTGGTGTTCCCCGAAACCCAAACAAAGGGTATCAGCAACAGGCCTTTGTTTGGTCTCCCTTTTGGAGCCAGAAAGGGGTTCTCCTTTTTGGTGTTCCCCGAAACCCAAAACGGAGTACCATCCAACAGCCCCGTCTTTTTTGGGGTCTCCCTGTTTTGGAACCAGAAGGGGGTAGCCTCCACAAACTAGACCACGGTTGGCCCGAAAGCAGAACATCGCAAGCGAGGTCGGCCCAACGCTGCAGGATGCGTTATTTTTCCCTACACGAAGCATTCGTGAAGCAAGCGCGAGACAGCACCAGGCAAGGTGCTCTGCGTAAGTTGCTCTGCGCAAGTTGCTCTGCGCAAGTTGCTCTAGGCAAGGCGCTCTGCGCAAACTGGTCGGTGCAAGTTGGTCTGCGCAAGTTGCTCTGTGCAACTTGCTCTGCGCAAGTTGCTCTGCGCAAGTTGCTTAAAATGCAAGTTGCATCTTGCGACGCCCGCCCGCGGACCAGGGAGGAATCGAACCCGCGACCCGCCGGTTCCGGGAGCAGGCGCGCGAACCACGAGACAACTCCCGAGGACCAGTTCGAACAACAAAAGTCGCAAAAAACCTCGAGTTTTTGCACCTCGACCACGCCGATCCCCGC